CCTGTTTGTTGGACTATGGCTCCGGCCACAGGTTTTGTGTTTTGAGGCTAGTGCCCGGATGTAGGAAACAGTCCTTGTGTCCAGGCGGCTGTGGGGGGGAGGGGGTGGGCGCGGTGGGGGGCGGGGGGGGGGTAGTGTGAGGCTCGCTTTGGTCTCTAGCCCTGGAGGACGCCACAAGGACCTCAGCGCGGTTTTTCAAACAGGTGATAAAGTCTGTCATTTTCTTTCTGGGGGAAACAAAGAGATTTACTGCAGCAGAGCTCGGAGCTCACTGTTTACTCTGGCAGAGGAGCAGCAGCTGGCTCCAGGGAAACAGAACAAAGAGGCGGACTTAATCGACTGGACTTCTCCGGGAAGGGATGCAGCAAATCTCCCCTCTCTGGGGCAGAAAACACAGTCGCTGTATTTCCCCCCCTGGGGTTGGTTGCTGGGTTCGGTTGCCACGCCCTGTGGTGCTGAGACGCTGCTCCCGGACCACGTGACTGCAGGCGCTTCTCATCAGACCCTTCTGGACTTTTTCTCCTTTCAGGGTGCAGGACCTGGACTTTACCCCCGACCCCCAGTGCTGGCAGTGCCTCTGTCTAGGAGTCACACACGGGGTGTGTGTGTGCGTGTGTGTGTGTGTGTGTGCGCGGGCGCAACAGGGCAAGGTGGGCCCAGGTTTCAGAAGGAACTGGAAGCCTGATGGAAAATGTGTCTTGCAGAGCCAGAGGATAGGACAGGGGGGAGGACACTGCCTTTGTACCCCCTCGAGTCCCCTGAGGTCACCAGGAGTGAGCCATGAGCACAGAGCCAGGAGTAAGCCCTGAGCACAGCCAGGTGTGGGCCAAAAGAGAAAACAAAAATGAAAAGCTGCCCTGGTTTGGGGGGTCACTGAGGGGACCAGCTCCGGGTGAACGGGACGCTGCGAACAAGTGTGAAACGGGGAGGCTTCGAGGATTAAGAGAAGAGATGGAAGGGCCGGAGCGATGGTACACCGGGAGGGCGTTTGCCTTGCATGTGGCCGACCTGGGTTCGATCCCCAGCATCCCGTACGTTCCCTGAGCCTGGCAGAAGTGACACCCTGAGCACAGAGTAAGGTGTCAGCCCTGATCAGCCCGGGGTATGTCCCCCTCCAAGGAAAAAATAATAGATATAGAAATAAGATAAATAATGAAATCAGGGACCCAGGGCCCTGACGGGCTCCCGGGCTGGTCTTTATTGCTTAGAGCCATCCCTAGAGGAACATTCTTTTGTCTAAATCGAACTCTCCGAATCTACCTGGGCCAGATACTGTCACGCCCAAGGGCCTTAGTTCACCAGGATGAACATCTCTGGGATGGGTTTTCTCAAGGAATGTTCCAGACAGAGCGATAAAGCAGTTACAGGGCCCCCGCTGTGGGGGCCCTGAACCTGCCCGGCTGCTTTATCTGCTTCACCCTGAGTCCCCGCAGGTCACATACTCAGAAAGGGCCTCACTGGACTATGTCCCTTCCGGGGGCCCTGGGGAGATTCTACTTCCCGACCTGGTACAATGTGCAGAGGTGCCTCTAGTGCGTGGGGCCGGTCCCCCCGAATCTCTCCAGCCCCCACCCCCAACGCTCCCCTTGTCTTATTTCCTACAGACTCCGGCTCCCCTGGGGAATCCAGACGAAACTCGGTGACTGGGACAGGGCCTATTCGGGGTGCTGGGAGCCGCCGCACACTGAACTCTGGAGGTGAAAGTCATTGGCTGTGCCCACCCCGCAGGGCCAGCCCCTGGGCACGGCAGCAGCCCGGCTGCTCCTGAGTTTGCTGTCCAAGTGCTACAGCTGGCGTCTGAGCTGATGGGCTCGGCCACCCGGCTGTGGGCTTCACCTCTCTCTGCCTTTTCTCATGGCCACCAGCAACGGTTTTCTCGCATGGTCAAGTAGGTGGGACGGGACAGGGGATGGGAAACCCGTGACGGCAGCAAACGGCCCAGTTTGCTGACGTGGGGGTCAAGTGGACAAGAAATGAGCCTTGCAGCTCCTGGGAGGAGGACCCCGACGCACGAGGGCCCTACTGACAAATTGATAAATTGTTCCTCAGATTCATCTGAGTCGTGCAGACTCCAAGAATCAGGCCCGGCTTTGGGCAGCCCGGCCTTCATCAATGCTGACTGCGGCACCATCCAGATTACGCCAGAGGTCAGGAGGCTGCAGACGGCTCCGCGATCCGAGGGGGAATCCGCGACCTAAAGAATGTTCGGGGGCCGTCCCCCACGCCCCACCGAGGTCGCCAGCTGCCCCCCACGAGCGGCTCTCCGGCACGGCCACGGCCCCGGAGGCACAAGGACTTAGCACAGAGAACCAGCCGCTTGGAGCAGAAAAGCAAATGGACTTGTGTTAAACCGCGCGCCACCAAGCCTGCCCGGAGGGGAAAGGGCGTTGACCAGCCCGCCCGCTCCTCTCTGGAAAGAAAGATGGCGGCCGCACGGGAGCCTTGTGGAAAGCGGGTTTGAGCCGGGCTCAGGGGAGCGGCGGGGACCTCATGGGAAGGGGGGCTTTGTGGGCCGTCCCCCACGCCCCACCGAGGTCGCCAGCTGCCCCCCACGAGCGGCTCTCCGGCACGGCCACGACTCCAGGGCACAGAAACCAATCTCTTAACTAGCTAACTTTTAATAGAAATTCTTCCAGGGTCAATAAGTAAAATAGCAGAAATTCAAAACCGCGCGGCCGCTATTGCGGCCGCGCGACATCATTTTATTCTTAAACCAAGTTGTAGAAAGCAAATCATTTCGCAACGCTGTTTCAGCATGTCTGATTGGGGGGGGGTGGGTCGTAAACTCTAAACAATAATTGTGCATCTTCTATCGAAATAATCTATCTAGTCAAAGTAGATAGAGTATTAACTAGAACTCATCTGCCTCACAAAAGAATTGGGAGGGGTGGGAGGTGGGGGTCTATTGGGGTTCGGGGTTAAAAATGAGTATTGGTAAAGGGAAATGTGTTTGGTATCTACATGACTGAGACCTAAACCCGAAAGCTCTGTAACTTTTCCCACAGTGATTCAATAAATAAATAAATTATAAAAAAAAAAAAAAAAAAAAAAAAAGAATGTTCGGGACCCAAGACTAAGGCACTGTGGGCAAGTCTGCCACGAGCCGGGTGCAGTTCTGGGGGTGGCGAGGCAGCTGGAGACCCTGCATGGCGCCAGGGTGGGGTTTGGCAGAACCCCTCCCCATCTGCTGACGCCCTGTGCCAGCGCCTCCAGCATTTGAGCCCTGGGACCACACAGAAGGATGGAGACACCGAATCTGCTTCCCCTCAGAGGTCACCAACACTTCCAGCCCACAGGATTATCTCCCAAGCATTTTAATTTTTATTATTATTTTTTGCTTTTTGGGTCACATCCGGTGATGCACAGGGGGTTACTCCTGGCTCTGCACTCAGGAATTACTCCTGGTGGTGCTCAGGGGGACCATATGGGATGCTGGGAATCGAACTTGGGTCACCACCTCCTGCAAGGCAACCGCCCTACCCGCTGTGCTATTGCTCCAGCCCCTCTCAAGCCTTTAAAAATGTAAAACAGAGACCCAAACCAATAAAAATATCTACAAAGGAAACGGAAGGGCTTAAAATCTCGGACAATGGTTTTAAGGAAGATAAAAAGAGGACTTTAATGCTGAAAGAACAGTCCAGATAAATGGCCAAGATGTCTTTGGGGTGCCAGCGGTCACATAGCAGGGGCGGTCAGCTCTCAGGTGGTGCAGACCTGTGGCAGCCTCATGGTCGAACACCCTGGTAACAGCTACCTCAACACCCAGAATCAGTCAGAGCACTGGGGATGTGCTCGGAGACGTCAGGTGACTTGCATACTAAAAAGAAATCCTACCCGGGGCGCCGAGACCGCTGATGGAGACCTGAGTCCCGCTGGGTATGTGAGCCCCAAAACAGGAATCAGACATAAAAGAAGTAAAATAAAAATCATCAGGCTGGGTGCGCGGGATGTGCAGACATGGATTCCACGGCCCTGTCACCTAGCACGGTGCTCAGTGTTGACTTCTGGGTTGAGACCATGTGGGACACAGGACAGAACCCAAGTGGGCCCACCCTGCTGTAATGTCACCAACCCGAGTGGGCCCGCCCCGCTGTAATGTCGCAGTCTTCTTGGCTACATTTGTTCTGCCCTAAGCTCTCTTTGCTGCTCTGTGTGGTTAAGTGTCACCTTTCAGGCTGGACCAACCCCAACAGGCAAAGCCAGTAGGGGCTTCAGGATTAAGCTCAGGCAGCACACCTGTAAATGTGAAGCCGGGGAACGTGTCGCTTCCGCTTCTCATTTAAAGGAACTTTGCTTTGTGCAGCACTGGGGGTCAGCCTCAGACCTCACACACTGCCCCAGCTGAGAGCCCATCAATAGCCTGTTTGTTTTGCTTGGGGTACCCCCGGCTCAGGGCTCACTCCTGGGAGGGCTCAGAGGAATAAGATGACGGTCAGCGTCCTGCCGCTGGCAGTCTCCACCCCCAAGGTGCTCTGGAGAACACACACATGGTGCTGGGCTGAGTCACACGCCAGCAGCTGCCTCCCCTCAGTACGCACTGGCTCTGAGACAGCCCAGCGCCCTCAGTCTGCAGACCTGCCCCGGGGATGGAGGAACCCACGCAGCTCTGGCCCACACCCCCGGCTCGCGGCTCCCCCCTCACTTGGTCTTGGAATTGCACCTTCTTTGTGGTTGTTTCGGGGCCGTTCCTGTGTTAGTCAGGGCTCTGCCCTCAGGGACCACTCCTGGTGGGGCTCAGGGGAGCAAACGGGGTGAGGGGTTGAACCCAGGTCGGCCACATGCAAGGCAAACGCCCTACCCGCTACCACATCGCTCCGGCCCCCGCATTCCATCTTCTAAGGCAAGTGATAGCAAACATCATCTTTCGGTAACTATGCTTTATTTTTTTGAATGTGCTTTTTATTCATTTACAAGTGCTAGATTCCTGTTTTGGAGACTGAATCTTTACCTCGCTTCGTCACTGTGAGCCACCAGCTATGGAAACCAATCAGACAAACATGTGAAGAAGAAACCAGTGCGGCATCTCATGATTTATTTAAACATTCGAGGAGTCGTGGCGGGGTGTCCTCTGCACCCCACTCTAGGGCAACGCCTGCTCCATTCGGGCGGGACCTTACTGGCTTCCGGCCCCATGAGGGAACCCGTGAGGACGGGAAGAAGCAAGCGATGACATTCAGGACCATGACTGGAAAGAGCGAGACAGTGAACTGCACACGTGCAAGCCCGGGGCAGGGCAGGCTCCCCTCACTGTCTCTGCTTCACAGTGGTGCCGGGGAAGGCCGACAGAGCGGGTCGGTCAGACGGTTGGATGGTGTGAGGGGCGGGTTCTGCCTCACCCTTCATCACCCGCTGTGCTCCCTTGAGACAGGCTCTCCCGATGCACCCAGAATCAGATGCTCCTGTAGTCTGAGCCCCGCGCCACGATGGCGGCAGCTTCCCACTCCACGGCGAAGAAGGAGATGGTTCCCAGGAACCCGAAGACCACCATGATCAGGAGTTGCCAGTGAAGGAGAAGGTAGTTGCTGTAGAAAAACGCCAGGGCTGCGCAGATGGACTGGGGAGAAACAGCGGGTTCAGGACACGCACCAGGAATGCGCTGCTGCCCAACAAGCACCAACACTCCCCAACACCCTCCAACACGCATCAATGCCCCCCAGCACCCACCAACACCTCCCAACACGCACCAACTCTTCCCAACAAGCACTATCGCTCCAGCCCCCTTTTTTGTTTGTTTAGTTCACTTGGCGGGGGCAAAGGAGGGCTCAGCCTTTGAGCCATCTCCTTTGTGAAAACCACAGTACAGGACAATGTGCAAGCACAGTGAGAACTGCCCGTCTCCCCTGAGAATGGACTCCAGCATCTCCGTTCAGGGTGCTCGGAGCTGCACGTTGGCCTCCTGAATGCAGTCTCTCGTGATGGGGTGTCGGGGGACCGGGGTCACGCTCCCAGGGCTTCCCAGCTCTAATCAGAAATCCCCTAGGAGGAAGTAAACCCGGAAGCTAACACCCAAAGAAAACAAAGCCAGCACTCTACCCAGCTGCAGATGATGCTACCTGGACAAACTTGAAGACGGCGAAGGCAGGGGCACTGTCCTCAGAGTAGAGGAACCCCAAAATGCTGAGCAGCTGCGTGTTGAAACAGCTATCTCCCAGGCCCAGCAGGAAGCTGCAGAAGATGGCCACTTCTTTGCTGAGTAAGACAATGACGAGTCACAGTGAGGCTCAACCACATTTTATTTTTATTTGCTTTTTGGATCACACCCGGCGATGCACAGGGGTTACTCCTGGCTCTGCACTCAGAAATCACCCCTGGCGGTGCTCAGGGGACCATATGGGATGCTGGGAATCGAACCTGGGTCAGCCGCATGCAAGGTAAATGCCCTACCTGCTGTGCTATTGCTCCAGCCCCTCAACCACATTTTAGAGAGCCACTGAGAACTTAAAGCCACGGGCCAGAAAGGACATGGCGGAGACGGTGTTCGCTTTGTGTGTGGCTGACGGAACACGAGCCTCTGCATCCCATATGGTCCCCCGAGCGAGCACCGCCAGGACTAATCCCTGAGAGCAGAGCCAGGTGTGGCCCCAACACCTCCGCTCCCAACATAAAGTAAAACCATCCACCCACAAAAACTTTATGTTTTTTATGGTGGGGGGCACACCCAGCTGTGCTCAGGGGTCAACTGTGGTGTTGCTCAGGGGGCCATAAGGGGTGCTGGGGATCGAACCCAGGTTGGTACATGCGAGGCAAGTGCCTTAACCTCTAGACTATCTATCTGGCCCTCAAAATCATTTTTTCTTCACATTTAATTTTCTTGTTTGTTTTGAGCCACAATTGATGCTCAGGGGTTACTCCTGGCTCTGCACTCAGGGATCACTCCTGGAAGGTTTATGGGACCATATGGGGTGCGGGCATGAAACCCGGTCAGCTGTGTGCAAGGCAAATGCCCTACCTGCTATACCACTGCTCTGACCCCTAATTTTCTTTTCTTACTTTTTTTTTTTTTTTTTTTTTTGCTTTTTGGATCTCAAAAGTTACTGCTCTGGTGGCCCAGGGCTCACTCCTGGCGGCTCTCAGACGAGTGGGCTGGAGGGTCAGCGCCAGGGCCAAGGGATGCTGTGTAGCTAACCCTGTACTACTTGGGCCCTGCTTCCAAGTTTTAATTATTTGTTGGCTTTATAGACACTTTTGGGGAATATGTCACTGCTCATAGAGCCGAGAGAGGAAACTCCAGCCAGAAACATAGGGTCCCCCGCTTCATAACTTGAGGACAAGATGCAGCGGAAAAGGTTAAACCAGTGACTGCACGAGCCAACATACAACGGGGAGGGAGCCCGGCTTGCACGCCGCCAACTGGGTTTAATCCCTGGTACCAAGGACAGTTCTGGAGCCCCACCAGGAGAGATCCCCGTAGTCAGGTGTTGTTCAAAAATAAAGAACAAAAATAAATAAAGAACAGGGGCTGGAGCAATAGCACAGCTGGTAGGGCGTTTGCCTTGCACGCGGCTGACCCGGGTTCGATTCCTAGCATCCCATATGGTCCCCTGAGCACTGCCAGGAGTAACTCCTGAGTGCAGAGCCAGGGGTAACCCAAAAATCAAAAGAAAGAATGAAAGAACAAAAGAAAGAACAAAAGAAAGATCATGGGCCGGAGTGATAGTACAGCAGGCAGGACATTTGCATCAAATATGGTCCCCCAAGCACCACCAAGAGTAATTTCTGTGCATCACTGGGTGTGACCCAAAAAGAAAAAAAATACAAAATAAAGAACAAAAAAAGTCAACGATTGCAAAATCACTCAGGACTCCTGGTGGCTTCTTACGCCAGCACTTGGCGACTCCTAAGCCTGTGGCCTTACTAGTATGGCACTTCAGGGGCTGCAGCGACAGTGGGGAGGGCACTTACCCGGCACGCTGCCGACCTGTTGGATCCGTAACACCCCATAAGGTCCCCTGAGCCCCACTGGAGTGATCCCTGAGCCCAGACCCAGAAGTAAGCCCTGAGCACCACTGGTGCGACCGAGAAAACAAAAACAAATACAAAAATGGCACTTTAGCACCCAGAAAAGTGTCTGCCTCTGTTTTAAATATGGAGCCACTGGGCTGGACAGTACCAGGTTTACGGCACTTGCCTCCCATGTAGTTGAGTCAAGTTTGATCCCTGGCGCCCTGCCTGGTCCCTCGAGCCCCACCAGGAGTGATCCGGGAGCACAAAGACAGGAGTCAGCCTGAGCACTGTCAGGCATGGCCCAAGCCCCAAAAAGGAAGGAGATGAAGACAGAGGCCCCGCTGGTCCGGGCAGCCGTACCTGGGCGTGATGTAAGCGCTGTTGTTGGTCCCTTCCACGGGGGCCAGGGGGGCGTCCCCGGGCAGGTTGAGAAATATTAGATAAAAAGCCACAAAGTGCACCAGGACACCCAGGAGCACGACGGGGTTCCTTCCAAAGCGGCTGTTCTTGCTCAGCAGGCCGAAGAGACTGCCACCTGCGGGCCAGACGGCAGACATGAGAGACCCTGGCGCCAGGCACACACCCCCCAACCCCAGTCAGAGAAGGAAGGTTCTCGGGCATTCAGCATGTCGAGGCGCCTCCAGAGGGAGATGCTGCAGCAACGATGTCCCAGCCAACCCCTCCCCCCCATGCTTCTCACCAGCCAAGTTCTCGAAGTTCTTCTCCATGCGTTTCTGCCCCCTGAAGACCATTTACCTCCACCGACCTCCGTCCCCATTAAAGAAACGCTGACTGAACCCCCAGGTATCAATTCAGACCTTCCTCGGCAAAGCTAAGCCAGGGGCCACGGGTCCGAGAGACGCCCAGGAGCCAAGGCACTCCCTGCGCACGAGGCAGAGCCCACCGACCGCTGGGAGTGGCGATCCCCAAGCTCGGCACTCAGAAGAGTCCCTGGGCACTGCTGAGTGCGGGATTGCAAAGGCTGGAGCAGGTGCAGAAAGCCCCAATCGCTCCTTCACAGGGGTGAGGCGTGTCGGGGAGCAGACGTTTGGCAGATGGCACGGCTGTTCCTCCAGCGCTGCAAACACACTTGCCAGACTCCCCCCGGGAGCTGCTCTCTCTCTTTTTTTTTTTTTTGCTTTTTGGGTCACACCCAGCGTTGCACCGGAGTTACTCCTGGCTCATGCACTCAGGAATTAGTCCTGGTGGTGCTTGGGGACCATATGGGATGCTGGGAATCGAACCTGGGTCGGCCATGTGCAAGGCAAACTCCCTACCCATTGTGCTACCGCTCTAGCCCCCGGTAGCTGCTCTAACGGGCACTTTTGTTTCTGAAAAACACCCAGCAGTGCTCAGAGATCACGCCTGGTGGCACCCAGGGACCCTATGGGATGCCAAGGATAGAACCTGGGTTATTTAAGCAAGGTGAGCGCCCCTGCTGCATTATCTTCCTTGCCCCATCCTGGGCACCTTTATCCCGGAGACACAGACTTCCCCTGGAGCAGGAACTTGGAGACAGTGCTCAGAGCAACCCAAATGGCCTTGGCGAGGTGATGTTAAGCTGTCCTGCACCTGCACACAAGGGTTAGTGCCGCAAGTTGTAAAGGAGCGGGACTCCTGAGGCGAGGCCTCAGGGAACAATGGTACAAATAAAAGTATTTCACAAGGCCGACTCAGGTTTAATCCCCGGCAACACATGTGGTCCCCCAAGCTTGCCAGGAGAGATTCTTTTGTGCAGCAGAGCCAGGCAGAAGCCCTGGGCGTCACTGGGTGTGGCCCCAAACCAAAAACAAACAAGAAGGGCAAATGCTTCCTGCCAAAGGCCTGTGTGCTCAAAATGGTTACAGCGGTCACTTGTATGCTAACTTTTACAGTAAAAGAAAAGAAAGAGCCTGCGAAGCACCAGCAAGAATCAAAATGAAAGAATTAAATGTAAACTATATTCCCTCATCTCAAGAAACCAGAACCAAGGCAAAAGAAAAGAAAAACATGGGGAAAGCAGCAGAAACAAAGAGTGGAGAACAGAAATATCCACGATCAGGTCAGGGATCAAATCTGATTCTTTGAAAAGGTGAACTGGACGGAGGCTGGAGCCATAGACAGTGGCAGGGTGCCTGCCTGCCCATGGCTGATGTGGGCTCGATCCCCGGCATCCCGTATGATCCCCCAAGCACTGCCAAGAATAATTCCTCAGGGCAGAACCAGGAGTAAACCCCGAGCATCACCGGGTACAGCACCCCCAACAACGCCCCCCAAAAAGGATAAAATAAATCAATAACTAATTTGATCAGGGGTTGGGGGGGGAACAAAATAAAGTTACTGAACTGTCCCAGGTTTGACCCCTGACACCCCATAGGGTTTCCTAAGCACCACCAGGAATAATCGCTGAGTACACAGCAAGAATAAGACCTGAGCACCCCACAAAAACACACAAAATGAATCTTACTTATCTTAGGGGCCAGAAAGATAATACAGTGATAAGGCGCTTGCTTTGGATAGGGCCGACCTGATTCAATGCCTGGCACCACATAAAGTTCCCCAATCACTGCCAGGTGTGACGCCTAAGCAGAAGCTGGGGGCAGCTCTGACATCACCAGATGCAGCCCAACCTCTCCTGCCAGAAAACACTAAGCTTCCTTAGAATTTACTTTTTTTTTTTTTTTTTGCTTTTTGGGTCACACCCGGTGATATCAGCTCAGGGGTTACTCCTGGCTCTGCACTCAGGAATTACCCCTAGCGGTACTCAGGGGACCATATGGGATGCTGGGAACCGAACCCGGGTCAGCCACGTGCAAGGCAAACACCTTATCCGCTGTAATACCGCTCCAGCCCATATTTGTTATTTTAGAATGTATATTAGTAAAGAAAAGCAAGGACCCACCCCTTTGGGTAAGAAGAAAAAGGCAAAGGAAATATATACGCATGCATGGGCAGAGAGGGAAGGCACCCTTCAGAGTTCCGGGCGCAGCAACGAACACCGGGTGGGCGCCTGCCGCACACGCCTGGCCTGGGTTTGGTCCCCAGCAGCCCAGAGGGTCCCTGGGCCTACCAGGTGTGCCCCGAGTACTGTTGGGTGCAATTCCCAAGAAAAGTTTTATTATAATAAGTCATGCAAAGCAGGAGTTTTAAATGACACTAACCTAAAATTTCCCCAATGCCGATGAAAATTCCAGAAAGCCCGATGAGGCTTTTCTCTTCGGCCCCAAACTGGTTGACAGCACCAATGCAGGTTCCGTAGACGCCGGAGAAGAAAGTCAGCTCCAGACCTGGGGAACAGCCACGCTTCAGGCCCCTGAGCTCTGCCACGGAACCAGCCCCACAGCGGCAGCGGGCACCCGTTCAAGGGACTCAACTCCACGCGGCCGAGACGTCAACGCCAAAGGGGGACCGAGCTCAGCACTACCCTCGGCTCATCACGGTGATGGCCGGAGAGCAGCCTTAGCTTCAGGGTCCGTGTCCATGGGACTCGGACACGTGCTTAGAAAACTGACACATTCTCCTGACTGGCCCAAAGGCTAGAATTAAGCCCCGTCCCCCAGGAAAATCACTTCCAAGATAAGAGAGCGACACACAGGCAGACCGGTGGAGACCTGACTCCACCACACACAGAGCAGGACCTGGGAAGGTGGGAAGGGCCGCCCCATGCTCCCCTCGCTGCTGAGCTACCCGGGAGGCCCGGACAGCAGACATGGCCAGCGGGGCCCCTGCTTCAAGGCCCACGATCAGCCACGCTGATCTGGTGGTGAGCCAGACTTCACTCCCGACACCAGAAACCACCCCCCAAAGCCAGGAAGATGGACTCTGGTTCTTTCCAGGGGTAACTCTTAATGCCCTAAAGAAGTCCTACCCCCACCCTGTTTCCCTGCCTTCCTGGGGAGCCCTCCCACGTGGAACTGGGGCTGACCTGGGACCTGCCGGAAGAACACGATGGGCGCAGCTCTGGGTGGCGCCAGGCCTGAAGCTGGCCGTGACTCTTGTCCTTCGTTCCTTCTGCCCTTCCTGTGAGACCTGGCTACTAGCTAAAACATTTCACTCCCCTGCAGGGCAGGAGGTCATGGCCAAGGCCCTGGGAGGGCGCCCCCTTCAGGGCACAAGGCACAAGAAAGATGAGTCCAGCCCACCTCTGGCAACTTCCAGAGGAAATAAGTGCTCGGCTGAGCCCAGGGCCCAGAAGGGAGGCTGAGGCCATCAGTGGAGTCGCTGTCCAGCTCTTACCTGTGTATGCGGTGGTGACGCTGAGAAGCAGCATCTCTTTGGTGACACATAACTTCAGAGACTTTTCTGAAACAAGAAAATCATTTGGTTGGGGGGGTGGCAACTGAGATTCATCACAAGAGCCACTGTTCTTCCATAGTGACACCGTCCCTCCTGTCACCCGTCCATAATGTCCGCAAACAACACCAGGACGGCAAAGCGTCAAGGGGGATGAACTAAATGCACCCCATAAGTGTGACGTTCCACTGCTGCTGAGTCTAGGGCCCCGTTTCCTCAGCACCCCTTGGCTTCTGAAACAGAGGAGAGATCACCCAACAGCGGACTAGCTCAGCAGGCCTGACTCAAGGTTGGGGTGCATCGCTGAGGCCTCAGGCTGGGCTGGGAGTTAAGCATGGTGGCCCTCCATCCGATTCTACACCACTGCATGAAAAAGTGCAATGGAAGATGCGCCTCTAGGAATATCCCACTCGGGGGTCCAAGCGACAGAGCAGCGGGGTGGGCGCTGCCTTGCACGTGGCCGACCTAGGGTCAATCCCAGCATCCCATGTGGTTTCTCAACATCCCCCAGGGTCCCTGAGAGCACAACCAGGAGGAACGTCTGAGCATCACTGGGTGTGGCCCCAAGAGAAAGAAAGTGGGTAAAAATCTGAGCACACGTTTCTCCAAAGATCTGCAAAAGGCCCACGAGGATATAAAAGTAGGTTCCGCATCACCAGTCGCTAGGAAAACACAAACCCTCAGGTACGAGGGTCACACTCCCTCAGATCACAGTAACAGAGCATGCAGACCCCAGCAGCGCCTCGGGGGGGCAGGCCCAGGCCACCACATGGCTTAGTGACCCTGCTGGCACTCGGCAAACACCCCTGGAAGCACATCCTCACACAACAGATACCACCCAAACTACAGGCGCCCGAAGAGCAGGTAGAAACCATCAGCCAGCCCAGGTGTACGCGAGGGAGCTCGGGGAAGGGGTGCTGGGCGGGGCGGCAACTGCCAATGAGATCGTCTGACATTCTGAAGAAATCCTGTACATATACTGAATAAACTCAAAGCCAGCAAGGCCAGGCTAGTGGGAAAGCGCTCACTTTGTGTGGGTGAGAAATGGGTTCGATCCCCAGCACCAGACACAATAAAAGATGAAAAAAAGGTGAACATTAAACAGTTAAACGTGTGTGGTGTGTGTGTGTGGGGGGGGGGGGGGTGGGAGGGAAACTGGGGACACAGGTGGTGGGAAATTTACACTGCTGAAGAAACTAGTGCTGGAATGACTGAAACCCAATCATGAACAACTTTGTAACTGTGTTAAGGTGATTCAATCAAAACATAATGATATTAAATAAAACACAGCAAAAAATATTAAATTAAAATTTGAAAATTAAAAAGAAAAATTTATACAGAAAGACAAAAAGTGAAATGTAACCAGCAGATTCGACAGCTCCAGGAGCCACTGAAACCCAGAGGCGCAAACACCTTCAGGAGTCTCCTTTTTCCTATAAAAACAAGCGTCACCGTTTCTATTTTGCTTCTTATCCTTTGTTTCCACATCACACAGTAAATATTTACCAATGATTATTTTAGTGGGGAGCGTGTAATTCCGTTGGATATACAGCTAATGCCTCAAATTACTTTCAGTTTCGCACTATTATAAACACCTTTGTAGTTAAATGACAGGAAGTCTTAATTATTTCCTCCGGATAATCCTATTATGGAACAGTTCCAGTACAGGTGGAAACATTTCACAGACGTCTACTCATTTCTGACAAGTCGGTCTTAAGAACAAGTAAGGAACGGCCGGAGAGACGGTACAGCGGGGTTGGTACTTGCCTGGCACACGGTCAACCCCAGTCCAATCCCTGACATCCCACAAGGTCCCCTGAATTCTGCGGCGAGTGATCCCTGAGCCAGGAGGAAGCCCTGAGCAGCCAGGTGTGGCCCCCAAACAGTCTTGCAATTTTTTTTCTTTTTGGGTCACACCCAGGGATGCTCAGGGCTGATTCCTGGCTCTGCACTCAGGAATCACTCCTGGTGGTGCTCGGGGGATGATACTGGGTGCTGGGAATCAAACCCGGACCGGACGCATGCCAGGCAAGCGCCCTCCCCACTGTGCTGTCCCTTTGGTCCGAGTGTCGCTCTGTCTGTTTCTTGCTGGCCCAGCTCGCTGTGGGGATCTGGAGAAGCCGTGTTCTCCCCTGAACTCATATTACCCCGCTTTCCGCTTCCTCTCCTGTCTCATCTTTATTTTTTACTGGGAGGGGAGGGGTTTGGGCTACACCTGGCTCTGCACTCAGGGATCACTCCTGGTGGTACTCCGAGGACCCTCTGGGTGTCGGGGAGGGCAGGCACCCCCACTATCCTCTCTCCAGCTGCAGCGGGATCCCCGAGAGCATCCCTGCCACCCGGATTGGAGGCCACGTGCCCAGGCGCTCCCGGCTCTCAGGAGCATCACGTGGGCACGTGCCTCCGTCCTGACCCCCATCATCTCAGGTGCTCCCGGAGCCACCCTCACCCCATGTGATTTTGTCCTCTTGCCCGAGAGCGCCTCACCTTTTGGGGTGCTGCCTTCTTCCTCCCCAAACTGACCCCTACCCGAGGACAGACCCGCGAGCCCCTGATGCTGGGTCTGTCCAGCTCCTTGGGAAGGGCTGCTGGAGCCTGGTAATGGGCCAACAGGCAGACACGCCACCCTCCTGCCTTCGTGCCCCTGGTGAGCCTGTGACAGCGGTCCTCGCCCTCAACCCTGAGGTTCCTGACCAAGTGTCCAGGGGCCTGGCTGTACTGTGCCCAGCACCTCTAGGCATGCTCCCCCCACCCCACCCCTCCACTCCCTGTGGCAAAGCCGAGAGCCATTGGGATTGTGGTGATGTCCTGTCCCACGGGGATAGCAGGGTCCTGTTGTGAAGTCCAGGTATGACAACGAACAGGCCCCCACACTGAGGTCGGTGACTCAGTCATGGAAACTACAACCACACACTCGCCCTCTGACTAGGAAGCACTTACTGAACGCGTCGAGCGCCTTCGCCAGGTTGCTCTGTGGGGACCTGGAAGATAAGAGGGCAGGCAGTGACCGTTCCACTCCCGGGAAACCGAGGCGAGAGCAAGCCGTGCTCATGGCTGTACTTGCGGTGGGTCCAAGGCCCTCAGCCCGCAGGTGACCCTGCCAGGCTGTGTGTCCCGAAGTGGGGAACACGTCCTAGTGCCAGGAGGCTCTGTGTGGGCAAGTCGTGGAGCACGGCGCCAAGCCTGGGGAACCACTCCCTTCCACACAGCAGGAAAAAGGGGTCCCGTCTCCACCAGCTCAGCACGCGGCGAGGCAGTGTGGTCTGGGCGCTACCTCGCAGCCAGCGTGAGTTTACACAAGCTCCTCCCTTTCCCAAAGGGTCACTTCCTCGGTCACAAAACTATACCCCTGGGGCTAGTGACAGCACAACCCAGAGGGCACTAGCCTAACCTGCAGTCAACCCAAATTTCATCCCCGGCACCATCCATGGTCCTCAGGGCCTGCCAGGAGTGATCGCTGAGCACAGAGGCAGGAGTAAGCCCTGAGCACAGCAGGCGTGGCCTCCACACCAAATGATGACAAAGCCCCAAAATACTGTACCCCTAAGCTGTGACACTTCAATGAGATGTTACTCCCATGGAATTGTTTATCAAAGCATGCCAAGGGAACTTTTCTGAAAGACTGCTTTGGGGCCTGAGCGACAGTACTGTGGGGAGGGCTCTTGCCTTGTACACAGCTGACTGGGGTTCTATCCCCGGCACCCCCTATGGTCCCTCAAGAACCACCAGGAGTAATTCTTGAGTGCAGCGTCGGGAGGAAGCTCTGAGCCTTGCCATGTGTGTCCCCAAAACAAAACACACAAGAGACTGCTTCTCGAGGAGTCGAGGAGTTGCAGAGATGGTAGCACAGGTGAGTGGGTCTGCCTTGCACGTGGTTCAATCCCTGGCACTGAAGGGATCCACCCCCCGCCCCCCACTCCACAAACCCCACCAGGAGTGCTTCCTGCACCGATGGGGATGGCCTCAAACCAAACGCTGTTAGGCCACCTGCAGCTGTGCTTCCTCCTTTCCCCTCCCCCCGGCCTCGATGTCTGGTCCGCCGCATACGCTGTGGCTCCCCCGAGAAAGTGCTAGTCTCCCCCAGACCATGCAGAGGGTCATTCCTATCCTGGGAAAGATGGAGGCTGGAGCCCCAAGGCCTAGCACAGGCGCAAAGCCTTGCACACAGCAGACCTGGGTTCAAATCCCAGGCACCACACGGTTCCCTGAGCACCAGCAGGTGTGTATCAAACACTGCCAAGACAAAGAAAAAGTCCAAGGTGGGGGGGCAGGGCTGGAGGCGCTTGCCTTGCAGACGCTGACCCAGGTTTGATCTCTGGCACCACGGGAGTGATCCCTGAGCACAGAGCCCAGAGTAAACGCCCAAGACCAAAAATTAACTGGATACAAAGCCAAGGAGAGAAATGCGTTCAAGTGCTTACTCGGGGCCTTCCATGTCCTGGTCATCGTTAGACTCATCTTCTCCCAGGATACTTGCCGGCTCCGGCTTCCGGATGAGGAAGAACAGGACTGTCCCCACCAGGCTGATGACTGTCAGGGCAATGAAGACTGTTCTTCGGTCACTCTCTAGAGGGAGGAGAGAACGCGGACACCTCGAGTCAGCCGCATTCGGGGGCTGTTGCGGCCCATAGATGCCCCCAAGGCGGCCTCTTTCGGGGTCTGCTCTGACCCAGGGAGACTGTCGCTATGTCTTCACAGCCTCAGCAAAAACCGAGAACTAGACGACCTTTGTCTCTCGATTACAGGAAAATCTTAAAAGCCCGAAGAAAACAGTCAAGGAGCCTAATCTTATCTTTCAAAGAAGTGCAGAGACAAAGCCATTAAAAGAGCCATTAAAAATCATCAGCATACTCAGGACTTCCCTAGAATAACCTTCTTCCAAGTCTTGAGGGGCCACCAGGAGCCTGGCAGGGCGCAAAAAAGAATCCAAGTTTGGTCATATGACCCAAAAGAAAAGGGACAAAAGGTGTAAGCTGCAAGGGTCACAGGAACGAAGAGTAGAACAACCCAAGGGAGCACTCTATGGGGATTTGGCTGCAGGGTGACTCTTCCATGTTGAACATATCTCAAGAAAATAAATATTAATTTTTTTTTATGGAACTGGAACAATAGAACAGTGGGTAGGATGCTCGTCTTGCACTCGGCGAACCCCGTCAATCCCCAGCACTCCATATGGTCCCCTGCCTACTGCCAGGGACAATTCCTAAGTGTAGAGGCAGGAATAACCCCTGAGCATCAACAGGTGTGGCCCAAGAACAGAAACTTAGGGAGACAGAGAGACAGTACAGCGGGTGTGGTATTTGCCTTGCATGTTACCTACCTGGGTTCGATCCCTGGCACCCCATATGGTCCCCAAAGACCTCCAGAAGTGATCCCTGAGCACAGAGCCAGGAGTAAGCCCTGGGAACTGCTGGATGTGGTCCGCAAATCAAAAATAAAATAGATAAGAAAACCAACATAACCAACCTGATATGTGGGTTTTCCCTTGCCAAGCAAAGTATATGTAGAGATTTCCGAAGAACAAGCTGTAGGAGCAAAGGCAGGAGAGAGGACAGCGCGTTACTGTCACAGGCTCAGGTTTGAAAATAACACAATGTCCCAAAGAGACACGCCTCTGAAAACATCTAGTGCCCTAGGTCCTTTAGCTGACCCAGACGGACTCTAATCTCCTTCCACACGACGGCAATCTGACTCAGAGACACCGGTGTGGCTCACTTGAGTCACTGCCAGCATGTGACTTATGGAAACTCTGCAAATCACTGCTTGGACCCAAACTGAAGCACCTTCTGAAATCCTATCTGAAAACTCTGGGGAAGTACACCACAGCCCTCGGATGGCAGCCTCTAGAGCGCATGAGATGCTTCACTGAGCCTACTTTCCTAGAGAGGGATTCACCCTCCCTCCCACCCTTCCGTGTCTGGGCGCGTGATTTCCAACATTGATGCTAACGGCTGCTGCTCTGGTTTCGTCATGGAGACCCTTCCGACTAGGCTGTACCAAAGCCAGATGCTGCTCATGCCCTCGAAGGTACATATTCAGGACAAAGTTCATGGTCATGAAACTGTAACAGGGTGCAGTGCTCATTCTTTTTATCAAAGATCTGCTTGGGGGGGGGGATCAGACAGCGTACAGCAGGGAGGGCGTTTACCTTGCACGTAGTCAACCTGGCCTTAATCCCCAGCATCCCATATGGTCCCACAAGCCTGCCAAAAGTTGATTCATAAATGCAGAGCCAGGAGTAACCCCCCCCCCCCAGTATAGCTGGGTGTGGCCCAACCTCACGCCCTAAAAAAAAAAAAAAAAAGGTTCTTGGATACCCAGAGGTATTCAGGACATACTCCTGGCTCTGCGCTCAGAAATCACTCCTGGCAGAGCTTGAGGGACCATATGGGGTATTTGGCATCAAACCTAGGTCAGCAACGTGCAAGGCAGACACCCTTCCTGCTGTCCTAAGGGTGCTTAAGCACCGCCTCATTTGTCATAGCATCAACCTCACTTTTGAATTTCAACAGATTTGTCAAAAGCAATGAGTTAGCACAGCAAGCACACCAGGAAGGATCAGCCTTTGGGATATAGGTAATAAGGGCGGAAAGCCACCAATTACTGAGGTTCCTGGTTCCTTTCATTGGGAAGGGCTCAGGTGACCTGAGGTCACAACCCAGCTTCACTGCAGGCGCAGTAGTGTCTGGAGGACAGTGCTGGAGATCAAACCGGGGCCCTAACTGGGTCCTAACCCTGTAAATCCTGTGTCCTGACCCCTGCACTGGCTCCCAGGCCCCAATCACTGAGCTGCTCCTTCATCTGTTTTGGGGCCAACCCTGACAGTGCTAGGGGTTACTGCCGGCTCTGCTCTCAGGAATCACTCCTGGAGACCAGATAGGGTGCCGGGGATAAAACCCAGGTCGGTGGCATGCAAGGTAAACACCCACCCCACTGTGCTACCGCTTGGGCCCCATCACAGAGCTACTAGCTCTGTTTTCTTACCTGCAGGATGGACAGAATGCAGTTATTCAAAGAGAATCACTGAAATTCATAAAGTCACAGTCCCGAAGTACAGTAGCCACAAAACACACTATGGCTAGGATTATTTTCCTTTTGTTTTGCTTTAGTTCCTGGGCCACACCCAGTGATGCTCAGAGGTGACTCCTAGCTCTGCACTCAGGGATCAGTCCTGGTGATGCTCAGGGTCCACATTCAGGGCTGGGGATGGAACCCAGATTGGCCCAGGGCAAAGCACGTGCCTTCTTCACCCCTCTACCATCTTCCTGGCCCCGATTTTCTGCTTGTGAATCATAAGTTCCAATGAGGGAGGTCCTACATATTTTGAGTTCTCCTAAAACAGTATCACGGTCCTCCCATTGTTCATTGATTTGCTCGAGTGGGCCCAGTAACACCTCCATCATGAGACTTGTTGTTACTGTGTTTAGCATATCGAGTACGTCATGGGTAGCTTGCCAGGCTCTGCCGTGCGGGTGAGATACTCTCGGTAGCTTGCCGGGCTCTCCGAGAGGGGCGGAGGAATCGAACTCGGGTCGGCCATGTTGGCTGCGTGCAAGGCAAACGCACTACCGCTGTGCTATCGCTCCAGCCCACTCCAGCCCCAAAATGTAGTAACATTTTATTTACACAAATTTTTAAAATTTCTGGAGGCTGGAGAGATAGCACAGTGGGTAGGGCATTTGCCTTGCACGCGGCCAACCCGGGTTCGATTCCCAGCATCCCATATGGTCCCCCGAGCACCGCCAGGAGTAACTCCTGAGTGCAGAGCCAGGAGTAACCCCTGTGCATCATCAGGTGTGACCTAAAAAACAAAAAAAAGAAAAAAAACTTCTTACTGCTGTTAAAGCACTGATTTAAAATCCTGTTTGTGGGGCTGGAGCAATGGCACAGCAGGTAGGACGTTTGCTTGCACGCTGCTGACCCGGGTTTGATTCCCAGGATCCCATAGGGTCCTCTGAATTACACCAGGAGCAATTCCTGAGTGCATGAGCCAGGAGTAACCCCTGTGCACTGCTGAGCGTGACCCGAAAAAATAAAATAAAATCCTTTTCGTGATGGGGTTCCAAGCATCCAACATTCCCACCAGAGTGTCTACTGTCCTCCACCACTGTCTTAAGGTGCTGTCCCAAACTTCTCTGCCCCAAATGTGTAACATTTTAAAATCTCGAGTATACGCAGCTAAGAACAAGCGAGAGCTTGAGTTTTCAACCTCACAAGGACCTAAAGAACAGTGTGGCCCAACTAAACAAACAGCAGCTGGGGCCACCAGAGGATTCTTACCTCGACTGTAAGAGTGCCCAGAAAATCCCGCTGTTCCTCCCAATGGTCAGCTCGTCCGAGTTGATGGTCAGGCAGTTCCCTTGTGCTGTCCAGAGCACTGCGATTCAAACCAGAAGCCATCACAGGCGCACGCCAGGAAGCGCTCGCGCGGAAACACTCATCTAAGCCCCGGGGAAGGAAAGAGACTCAAAGGCTCACCAGCAGCAGCGACTCCGATGAAAACTGACGCCGTGTAGAAGGACCATGGGAAAGGCTGGATAAAAACGGCAATGTACATGCTAAAATGCAACAGGCCAGCGCGTTACGGTCACGCGCCAGAGGGGGGACGCAGCCATGCCTCGAGGAATCCATTCTGAGGGCTCCCGATTGGGGTGGGGCCACACCCGGAGGCGCTCCAGGCTGACTCCTGGCTCTGCACTCAGGGATCACTCCTGGCGGGGCTGGGGGCATGACACGCGGGGCTGGGGCCGGAGCGGAGGCGAACGCCCGCCCTGCTGTGCTATCTCCCGGCTCTCTTCTTCCCGAGTTCAACCTGCAAAGAACTTTCCCAGTGTTGGAACAAAAGAGGACACCTAGTGGACTTCACCATTTCGCTGAACACTTTTTCTTGTTTTCGGGTCATACCTGTCAAGTGCTCAGGGCTTACACCTGGCTCTGTGTTCAGGGATCACTCCTGGAGGGGTCAGGGTACCCTAAGTGGTGCCGGGAATTGAACTTGGGTCAGCCACATGCAAGGCAAGCATTCTACCCACTGTGCCATCACTCTGGCCCTCCATATATATATATATATGGCCAACCCGAGTTCGATTCCTCCGCCCCTCTCGGAGAGCCTGGCAAACTACCGAGAGTATCTCGCCCGCATGGCAAAGCTTGGCAAGCTACCCATGACGTATTTGATATGCCAAACACAGTAACAACGAAGTCTCACAATGGAGACGTTACTGGGCCCGCTTGAGCAAATCGATGAACAATGGGAGGTCAGGGCTACAGTGCTAAATATATATATATATATATATATATGCAATTTTTTTTTTTGGCTTTTCAGGTCACACCCAGCGACGCTTACTCCTGCAGGTGCTCAAGGAATCATATGGGATGTTGGAGATCGAACTTGTGCCGGCTGCATGCAAGACAAATGCCCTCCCCATTATACTATTGCTCTGGCCCCCTATTTACTTTGATACTTGTAATAGCCTGACACTGAATGGATGATGTGGTCACCTTTGCCAGGAGCTTCTTTGCGGGCACATCCCCGGAAGCAGGTGCACTGTTTCATCTAACCACCTCTCGCTAACTTGACATGAATCATGGACACTCCACGGGGCTCGCTGTACAAACTACTTTCGTGGAGAATTTTTGGAAATTGCACACATTAGCAGCTATTGGGTTTGAAGAGATAGGACAGTGGTAGGGTAGTGCCTGTGTGGCGGCCCAGGTTCAATCCCCGGCACCCTATATGGTCCCCTGAGCCCTGCCACGAGTATTCTCTGAGCACAGAGACAGGAGTAAGCCCTCAGCACTGCTGCGTATGACCCCCAAAGAAAGAAAATAATGTGGTTGGAGGCCAGAGAAACAGCACAGCTGGGAAGGCGCTTGCACGCAGCTGACTGACATGGCACAGGGTCCCCTGAACCCTACTCCTGCCAAGAGTGACCCCTGAACCCACAGACCCAGGAGTAAGCCCTTGGCACAGCCTGGTGTGGCTCCTTCGCCCCTACCCCTACAAAGAACACTCCCCCCCCCAAAAAAAAACCACAAAAAACACCCGAACTTTAAATAATGTGGTCAGGTCTGGCGATGTGACACAATAAAGCACAAGCCTGGCTGACATGAGGCCGAGTTGGATCCCCGGAACCACATGGTTTCCCAAGCACGGCCCTGACTCCCCCAGGTACCTCCAGACGAGCATTCACCACGAGGCCCACACCGTGCAGGCCAAGGTCTGGACACAGATCCCAGGCCTGCCAGCACCCACCGGGTGACACGCTTACAAGATGGAAACCAACCAACCAAATGAGAATCCACAGCGTGGGATCCCGAGCCCGGGGGTGCAGGGACCGGCTAAGCCTCCGACCTGCGGGCCCAGACGCTGAAGGGGCAGGAAGGGGGAGCGCCCGCACGACTCACCTGTAAAACAAGCCGCTGGCAAACATGGAGAGCTGCGGGCCCACGACGGTCACCACGGATGGGGTGATGAGATTGGAGGCGGAGAAGACGCCGTAGATGATGGCCATGCTGCACAGGCGGGACAGACAGGGCGCGGCGCGGCTCTAGGCTCAGGGATGCTCAGCAAGGAGCACCCACATGGTCTGCTTTCATTTGGGGTCTGGGGGCCCGCCGCTGACAAGGCCCAGGGCTGACTCCTGGCTCTGTGCTCAGGGATCACTCCAAGTGGGCCTGCTATCGGCACGGCCCAGCGCTTCCTTGCGGCCCTACTCTGGGGCCGGCTCTCACACCCTTCACCTCGTATGCACCCCCACTGCCGTTAGTCACAACATCAGATTACAGACTTCACAGGAAAGACAGTGCCAGTCCCAAGAGTGCTCTCTCTCTCTCTCTCTCTCTGTCTGCCCTGGGCGAGATGTTCCGAGAGGCTAAGTCACAGTAGGAGCAAACACATGCTCTGCTTTAGGAACGGATGGTCTCTTCTCTTTTTCTTTGGCTTTCTGTGTTTTGGCCACACCTAGTGTTGCCAGGGGTTACTCCTGTCTCTGCATTCAGGAACTACTGGCAGTGCCCGAGAGACCATAGGGGGTGCCCGATTCGAACCTGGATCAGTGGCAAGCAAACCTCACTCGTGGCTCTATCCCTCCGGCTCCTGTATTTCCTCTCTTAGTCGTTAACGATTTTACGACAGTATCAATATTATCATTGTGATTATGTAGTTTTTGGTGTGGGGGTCATACCCCACAGTGCCCAGGGATCACTCCTGGTTATGCTCGGGGACCATATGGGATGCCGGGAATTGAACCCAGGTGAGTTGCATCCCAGGCAAGCACCTTCCTTCCTGGAGTATTTCTCTGGCCCCAATAAGATATTATTTTATCCTTTACTTTAAATTTTTCAATTTATTTTGTTTTATTGGGCCTCATCTGGTAGCGTACAGGGCTTACTCCTGGTTCTGTGTCAGGGATCGCTCCCAGTTGGGCTCAGGGAATATATGGGGTGCTGGAAACTGAACCTGGGTTGATTGCATGTAAGGCAAGAGCCCTCCCCTCTGCTATCTTTCCGGCTCTTTATCCTAGTCCTACAGCAGGATGTGGAAATGTGGTGCAGTGGTAGGGCACTTTGCCATGCATGTATGAAACCCCTCTTTCTCTCTGGCACTAAAAGGAAAATAGTTTTTAAGTGAAGTATTAAAAATACACAGAGGTTAAGTAACACCCCATCCGCACCGCTGGGCTCTTAGCATGGAATTCTCCGGCCTACTGACTGACTATTTCCCTGAGCGGGCCCCAAGTCTGAGCACAGGTTGGAAGGCCTGAAGCGAAAGGAGGAAAGTCCAGTTGCAGAGGTGGCGTGGGGTGCAGCCAGGACACGATGGCTGGTAAGAGAGTCCCGAGCCCTACTCAGGCCTCCTTTACAGAGTGAGCTACAACTCCTGGAAACTGTGAGGCACCTTCCGGCTATAAATAACCACAAGGCTACAGAGAGGCTCCGGGGCCTAGAGCGCGAGCTCTACATGCATGGACTCGTGGCTCTGCCAGAAACAACCCCCCACACAATCAAGTGTAGCCTCAAAACCCAAAAAGTAGAAAAACAAAACAAACACCCAGGGCCGAAGAGATAGTACAGTGGGAAAGGTGCTTGCCTGGCATATGGCTAACCCAGACTGGGTCCCTGAGCCCCACCAGGAGTAATCCCTGAGCACAGAGCCAGGAGTAAAGTCCTGGCCACAGCGGATGTGGCCCCCAAACAGAAATAAACAAAACTACTACCAAGGTAGCGCTTATTATGAACTGAAACCGGCTGAAGTCAACCTAATGCTCTAATTTGAGTAGTATTCAGCAATTATCTACCCAACACTAGTACACCAATTTATTCTTAATTTTTTGATGGAGCCACAGTGGGTGGTGCTCAGGGCTTACCCCTGGCTTGGCACTCAGGATTTACTCCTAGCGGTGCTTGGGGGACCCGATGGGATTCTGGGGATAGAAGTCAGGTCAGCCAATGAAGGCAAGCGCCTTCCTAGCTGTACTATCACTCCGGCCCCTCCAGTACATTCACTCAGTAGCAAAATGTGACTAGAGCCATTTGTGGGGCCTGGATTCATTTACTAGCCGCTGTTTATAAGGCCAAAATCATTTTGGCTTCTAGGACTCAACTGCTAGATTTAGGTCCAGGGATCTGGCTCAAATGGTGAAGCGCAGGCCTTGCATGTTTAAGGCCCTCAGTTTTATCCCAGCATGACCAAAAAATAAATAAAGGCACATTCACGTCCCTTAATCTTAAGTATCATCTGGAAGGTGAGGTTTAGGACTGATGAAATAACCAAAGTGGGAGGCAGGAGGCAGGAGGCAGGAGGGTTCCGGCTGAGATCTACATACTTGGCCAAAATAGAACAGCTCCAGGTAAGTGTGTTAGGAAGCACAAAACCACAAAAAACAAACACAAAAACACCCAGGGAAACTGATGATGCGTCCAGATGTGAACGTGACAATATTTGAGTGCTTATGAAAGGTTAGGAACCATGCCAGCCCTTTGGACAAACAACAAACAAGAGAAGCAACTGGAGCAGGACACAATACCTGGTGTATCCACTGCCGTGAAAATCGGTGCTATTTAAGCTCCTGATGACAGTTTGCTGTGTGGGAGGGAGACAAAACTAATCAATCAGCGAGAACGATCTTCACCACCGTCCTCTACCCAGAACGTCCATCTCCAAATTCCCGAGGGGCAGCAAGGTGCACGTGCTCCGGCCGCAGCAGGCGGCGGGATGGAGCCGGACTCCCCGGGACTCGCCCCACATCCAAGGCATATTCCCCCACGGAGAGGTGTCTCCCCATGTGAGCCCAACCTAATGATCCCCACCAAACAAATCGCGGGAGGACTGACAGGAGAGGCAAAGAGCAGAGTGCAGGGCTGGAGCGATAGCACAGGAGGGCATCTGCCTTGCACGCGGCCGGCCCGGGTTCGATTCCCAGCATCCCATGTGGTCCCCTGCGCAACACCATAAGTAATTCCTGAGTGCAGAGCCAGGAGTAACCTCTGTGCATCGCCGGGTGTGGCCCAAAAAGCCAAACCAAAAAAATAAAAAAGCAAACTTAAAAGCCCCCCACTGAACTCTTCTCTCCTAGGAGACACAGGTGCGGCCACACAAGGACCACCAAGGGGCTGGAGCAATAGCACAGCAGGTAGAGAGTTTGCCTTGCACACAGTCGACCCGAGTTCGATTCCCAGCATCCCAAATGTTCCCCCGAGCATCGCCAGGAGTGATTCCTGAGTGCAGAGCTAGGAGGAACCCCTGAGCATCGGCTGGGTGTGACCCAAAAAGAAAAAAAAAAGAGCGGAGTGCAAATGAGGCAAAAGCGTTTATTTCCTTTCGACGGGAAACTCACCTCCACGTTCCCGCATGTTTGGAAAGCGGTGAAAATGAACATGAAGGCAACGCCTAGGATAATGATGTTGTAAAGCTTTTTGGACTCCGGGGACATGTTGGCTCCGCCGTGCCTTGAAGAGTCCCGTCAAGGGCGACGCGCGGACGCGCCTGCGGAGAGAAGCCGGGCAGCGGGGCCGGCGGCCAGCCCAGTCGGACTTGTCCACCTCTTGGCTCGGGGCGACGCCGTCCCCGCGGGCGCGACTAGGACATCCCCGGGACACGATCCGAGTGGGGGAAAAGCGAGCGGCGCAAGGCCCGCCGCGGCGCCGCGCTCCGAGCTGCTCCGGGTGGCGCGTCCGGCGCGGGGACTGAGGGGCGCGACGACGGGCGGCAGCAGCTGGGGCGGCAGCGGCAGCAGCAGCGGCGGCGGCGGCAGCGGCCCGCGCCTGACTCACCGCGGGTCACGTGCGGAGGGTCACCTGACCGCGGGCGCCGCGCGGCCTTCTGGGAGATGGAGTCCCGGGCGGCCCCGTCCGGCGCAGGCGCAGGCGCAACCGCGCTCCCGCGGCGCGGGCGGTCGCCAAACGGGCGCTCTGGGGAAGTGGGACGGGCCGAGCGGAGGCGGGGGCTGCGGGAGGGGGTCGCCCCGCTCGGCCACGGCGGAGCGGGCCCCGAGAAGGTCGGGGAGCCGGCGGCACGGGAGGGGCGGGCCGAGGCGGCGTGGAGCGTGGGCATTGGCATGGGCGGGAACGGGAGGGCGGAGCCCCAGCGGGGGCGCCTCCTCTTCCTCCGGCCCCGGAGCGCCCGCCGGGCCGCGCAGCCGGAAGAGGGGTTTCGCGGGCTTTCTAACTGCTGCCAAGCGCCGCCCCCCTCCCCTCGGGCCGCCGTGACTGCGCGCTTTTCCGCCCGCCCGGCCGCCCGCCCGCTCCTGCGCAGGCGCGCCGCGCGGGGGGCGGGGCGGCGCGGCGCGGGCCAATCAGGAGATTCATTTCCGGGTGGCGCGGGCGCCATTTTGGGAGGAGGGCTATAAAGGGGCGCTGGGGGGCGACCGGCCGCCCAGTGTTCGCTGTCGTCCGCCTCCCGGTTCGTGTTCCCGCCGCCGCCGTCGTCGCCGTCTCAGGCCGGCCTTCCCGGCAGCCTTCCCGCGAGGCCGCCGCCGCCTCCGTCCGCCCGAGCCGGCCCGAAGCAACCGCCGGAGCGTTAAGTCGGAGGGCGCGCCGCCGCGGGCCGCCGGTCCAGGGCCATGAGCTACGGCCGCCCGCCTCCCGACGTGGAGGGCATGACCTCCCTCAAGGTGGACAACCTGACGTACCGCACCTCGCCCGACACGCTGCGGCGCGTCTTCGAGAAGTACGGCCGCGTGGGCGACGTGTACATCCCGCGCGACCGCTACACCAAGGAGTCCCGCGGCTTCGCCTTCGTGCGCTTCCACGACAAGCGCGACGCCGAGGACGCCATGGACGCCATGGACGGGGCGGTGCTGGACGGGCGCGAGCTGCGGGTGCAGATGGCGCGCTACGGCCGCCCGCCCGACTCGCACCACAGCCGCCGCGGCCCGCCGCCCCGGCGCTACGGGGGCGGCGGCTACGGCCGGCGGAGCCGCAGGTGAGCGCGGGCCGCGCGGGGCACGTGGGGCGGGGAAATGGCGGCGGCGGCGGCGCGATCATGGCGCCGGGCGGGCGGGCGGGGCACGAGGGCGGGCGGGCGAACGGGCGGCGGCGGCGCGGCCCCACTCACGCCCCCGCTCCCTCTCGCCCCCGCCCGCAGCCCGCGCCGCCGCCGCCGCTCCCGCTCGCGCTCCCGCAGCCGCTCCCGCTCCCGCAGCCGCTCGCGCTACAGCCGCTCCAAGTCGCGCTCCCGCACCCGCTCGCGCTCGCGCTCCACGTCCAAGTCCCGCTCGGCGCGGAGGTCCAAGTCCAAGTCGTCGTCGGTGTCGCGCTCCCGCTCGCGGTCGCGCTCCCGCTCGCGCTCCCGCAGCCCGCCGCCCGTGTCCAAGAGGGAGTCCAAGTCGCGCTCGCGCTCCAAGAGCCCCCCGAAGTCGCCCGAGGAGGAGGGCGCCGTGTCGTCGTAGGCCAACGGTAATGCCGGCCGGGGGCGCCGGGCGGGGGGGCTCGGGCCGGGGGGTGGGCGGCGGCGGCTCGCGGCCGTGGGCACGCCCGGCCCCGGGACGAGCGAGGCGTGCGGAAGGAAGCGCGGGGACTGATGGCTGATTGGTGGACGGTGTGGGGCCTGTCTGTGAATGACGATGCCTGTTTCTTGCTGTTTTGACCCAACGTCTGCATTCTCCCCTTTAAAGCTGCGGTCTCCTGTTTGATAAGAGAATATTGGCCAGTTTTGCCGATTTTAACTGATTTGGCTGATCCTCCAGGGACCAGTTTCTGTGGGCGTGTGTTGGAGCAGGTTTGTCTTGACGCGTTAAAGATGCACTATCCTCTTAGCATCGGCGCAGCCTTTGTTGTGCCGGCCGGGAGTGAGGCGCCAGGGAGGTGGCGAACGCTGTGCAGTCAGCGGCGACCGTTTGGACCCCAGAGAGTTCGCAGGTATCAGACCGGGCGGGGCAGGATAGTGTGTCTTTAACTCTCCATCCGACGGTTTGGTCCTCTTTTTGGAAACCAGCGGGCCCCCCACCCAGGTAGTCCAGATAGCAGCGCCAAGCATCATTCTCGGTGGCCGAGCATTCGTTTCCCTCGGAGAACGAACCGCTAGAGTTCGCTTCCTTTCCGGTTTCGAGGTTTTTGTTTGCTTTTTTGTTTCTACTTTTTTTTTTAAACCCTCCCCTTTTTGCACCTCGGTCATTCGGCCAGGAAACAGTTCCATTCACACCGACCTGTCCGCGCTGGCAGGACAGGAGTAGCCTCCGAGTTTAGAGCTGGGCCTTTGAAAACACTGAACTGAACTGAGGATGGCTCGGGTTTCTGTAAGCGTCTGTGTCACCAGAGCCTGATCTGTCACACCAGTACCTGCCTACCCGAAGCGGGGCGCGGCGCCGGGGCTAACTGCGCTCTCCTTTTCGAACCTAGATGCGCCCGCCAGCGTCCTAGCGGAAGACCCGGAGCAGAAAGGACCTCAGACTCAGTCCATCCAAGAGTCCTTGGAGCAAGCAACTGGCTGTTGAAAAGGTTATTTTGTAACATTTTGTCTAACTTTTTACCTGTTTTAAGCTTTGCCTCAGGTGGCAAACTTCATTTTTATGTGCCATTTTGTTGCTGTTATTCAAATTTCTTGTAATTTAGTGAGGTGAACGACATCAGATTTCATTATTGACTTGGATATTTGAGGTAAAATTTCCTTTTTGTTACATAGCGCTGACTTTTTTTGTTTGAAATTGAACAGATTGGTAACCTAATTTGTGGCCTCCTGACTTGTAAGGAAACGTGTGCAGCCATTTCGCACAGCCTAAATGTCGAGATTGCCTCAGCATTGCCTTCATTCCTTAAAATTAGAAACCCACAAAAGTTGGTGTCGATTTGTATATGTTATTTGCCTTCGGTAATCTGAACCCAAATTTGTGTAAAGACTTTTCAGGTGAAAAGACTTGATTTTTTGAAAGGATCGTTTACCAAACACAATTCTAATCTCTTCTCTTATGTATTTTTGTGCACTAGGCGCAGTTGTGTAGCAGTTGAGTAATGCTGGTTAGCTGTTAAGGTGGCGTGTTGCAGTGCAGAGTGCTTGGCTGTTTCCTGTTTTCTCCTGATTGCTCCTGTGTAAAGCTGCCTTGTCGTGCAGAAACAAATGGCTGTCCAGTTTATTAAAATGCCTGACAACTGCACTTCCAGTCACCCGGGCCTTGCATATAGATAACGGAGCATACAGTGAGCACATCTAGCTGATGATAAATACACATTTTTTCTCTCCCAACCCCCCTCCCATGGTCAATCCAATTCTCATGTATGAACTTAAAAAAATACGGAAATGTTAAGGAAGCAAATGGTTTGTAACTTTGTAAGTACTTATGACATGGTGTATCTTTGCTCATGAATATCCTGTACTATAACCATTGTTTCTGTAGTTTTAATTAAAACGTTTCTTGGTGTTAGCTTTTCTCAGAATGTGTCTTGGTCATTTTTTTCTGTTTATTCGGGAGACCTGTGCCATTGTCTTTGGTATGATACGAAGGTGGATTTCATAGCTTGACCTAGCATCCCCAAGGGGTACAGAGCCAGGAGTGATCCCCAGGCATGACCCCAATTTTCTTTTGGAGTGATTCCATACTATCCATGTGAGGCTTGGGCCCTCCCACCTTATTCACATCATGCTTTTAAATAATTTAAGGAATATCCGAGTCCTCTTTTTCCCTTAGACTTGTTTAATCTTGTTATGTGGCTTTGAAAATCTAGGGGTATGAAACTTCCCACTGTGATCAGGAAACAAAGTGGAAGTAGAGCGCTTGCCCTGCTCACTGCCAGTCCCAGGTGCTCCTTATTAGGTACAATGGACAGGCTCTCCTGCTGCAGAAATGACCATCATTTCAATCGTATGTCTTCCCGGAAGGAGGGAGTCCGCTATGTCTTCTCTGTCTGCATCAAAAGATTCTAGAGGAATGTGAACACATTTCATGTCCCATTTGTACAACAGAGCCTCAAGCGACCAGTCAGCACTGAAATTAAAAAAAAAAAAGATTGTACTTGGTTTTGCTTCAGGTTTATCTGCACTTCATTTTAGAGAGTAAACCTCTAATAAGAATGATAGTTAAAAACTTTAAAAATCAGGATATTCAGACTTACCTCCTGACTTGGTAAGTAGACCAGAACTGTGTCTTAGGATTCTTCTGCATCAAAAAATATACTGTAGTTAAAATATCTTCAAAGTCTAGGGGGAGAAACGGGCATTACATACATTAATAGACATTAATATGTTGGCTACATTGTGTTTCTAGCCAAATAATAGCCAAAGGAAACTTTTACCTTCTGGTTCAAAGAACACATCAGAGGCAAGAAGAATGTCTTGTGGCGGGAGAGCCAGCAGCTCCTGGGACATGTGACCCCATGTTAGCCCTATGACCCGCACCTGGGGCACGTGGTTGATGTGGCAGCTTTGCTGACAGATTTCCAGACAGTGTGGCAGCTCACAGCTGTCCGACAAGATCACTTCAGCACCACACTTTGCAGCCAGAATTCCTGGGAGGCTCACTCCAGCTCCTATCTAATGGGAAGGTTTAGATTTAGGGGCTGAGATGAGATAAGAGTGCGTGCTTGCCTTCCATGCAATCGACCCACACTTGATCCCTGGCACCCTGTATAGTAGTGCCCCCCCAATCCTCCCAGGAGTCAGTCCTGAGCACCATTGGGTGTGCCACACCCCAAAAGAAATTGTTTTCAGAAACCTATGTTAAGACACATCCTAAAGGTCAGGTGTGTCAAGCTTGATTCTTGGTCCTTACTGTGTAACTGACTTTACATGAAAATCACAAATGTCCTCCCGATGTTCATTAATTTGCTCCAGTGGGCCCAGTTAACATCTCCATTTTGAGACTTGTTACTGTGTTTGGCATATTGAATACTTGCCAGGCTTTGCTGTGGGCGAGATACTCTCTGTGGCTCTCAGAGAGGGGCGGAGTAATCGAACCCAGCTTGGCCGGCCTACCGCTGTGCTATCGAGCGAGAAAATCACTTAAATTGCTAAGAATCTACAAGATTTTCCAGCAGGGTCTTGGAAACTGCAAGGTAATAAGCTAGGAATGTCTTACCTGTTTCTTGATCTTTCTCAGACTTGACCCACAGCCCACCCAGGTCTGCTTTTGTGCCTTGGAAAATCCTGAAGGTCACGGAACATTTGAAATAGAAGCTCCCCATTTGGGGGGGATAAACATGAACATACAAAAAACGGCTTCATGGGGTTGGAGCCGATAGCACAGCAGGGAGGGCGTTTGCCTTGTACACGGCAGACCCAAGTTCGATTCCCAGCATCCCATATGGTCCCTGAGCACCACCAGGAGTAACTCCTGAGTGCACAAGCTAGGAGTAACCCCTGTGCATTGCCGGGTGTGACCCAAAAAACAAAAACAACAACAACAACAAAAAAACAGCTGCATGATATGCGGCACTAAAGGTTTGGAAGAAAGGAGTTGTTCAGGAGAGGTACAGCAGGGAGGGAGCTTGCCTTGCACACAGCCAACCAGAATTGATCTCTGGCAATCCATAAGGTCTCCTGTGCATTTCTGGGGTGTGGCCCAAAAACAAAAAGGCAGCACATGGAAGGGTGCAGTGCAGGAGTCTGGACAATCCTGCTTGGGACACCCTAGAGATCAATTCCCAATTAGTCTGTGGGATTTGCTTTAGAGTAGGGTCAAACAATGAGCTTGTCCAGAAACTGATCTGTTGAACTCAGGTATGTGGGTTTTGTGACAGATCTTTAGGCTCCCATTGAGTTGGGGATGGGCTACCTTCCCCCATCTGTTCTTCCGGAAGCCTGGCAGTAACGCCCATGAACTCCCTCTAGGCTAAATAAGCTCATTAACCGGCCATGATCCAGAGATTCATAAATCTAAAGAGGTAAATGAGTTGCAGAGATGTTTCTGGACCCTGCGCCAGGCCGAGCTGCCCAGGGTACCCAATGTCACCATCCAGTTAAAACCTTTTTTTTTTTTAGTTAAAAATTTAACTCCAAAAATAAATAAAATAAAAATTTAACTCCAACAAAAATAGCAGTACTCCAACATTATTAAGAAAAATAAAATAATTAACTCTAGGGACCAGAGCAATAGTAAAGCAATAGGGCATTTGCCTTACAGGTGGCTGACCCAGGTTCAATCCCCAGCATCCCATATGGTCCTTGGAGTGTATTGCAGATGTGACTCAAAAAGAAAAAAAAAATTAACTCCAGCTACCATTACCCCATTCAAAAACTTTGAATTCCAGAGCTCACAGCTAACTCTATACCACTGATGAACCAGGAGTAGCACACCACATTGGATAGGGTCTAAAGTAGAACCAATCTCGATTAAGAAAATATAAACACACAAGGCTTAACCAGTAACAACACGGTAGTAATCTCTTCTACAAGAGCTTAACGGCTCCATGGTGATATATAGTAATACAAATCTTCTAGGAAAATATTTTTTGATCATTTTTAGCAAGTTATAACAAGAAATATAAAATAAATTATTTTGGGCCTGCTATAGGGGCAGGCTTGAGGGGTGGCTGGGAATACACTAGTGGTGGGAATAGTGTTGGAATATTGAAAATAAAAAATCACGAATGACTTTATAAACTTAAAAAAAATAGAAAACACCCCCATATCTAGTGCTCCTTATAGTTTATGCTTGTCTTTTTACACGTTGGTCCAGTCACCCGATTCATAAGTATTTGCAGCAGCACATACACTTAAATGTGTGAGCCAAGATTTCTGGAAATGAAATCATTGGGAGAGGGAGCATGTTCTCGGCAACTAACGGTGCTCAGGGTCTGCTCCTGACGGAGGTGTGGGGGGATGCTTTGGGGAATGTAACCCTGCTTCTTCTAGTCCTTAGTCCCTTTCTCTACTCAAAAGCATTTGTTACCTCTAGAACAGCTTTGCCTGGGAGAGACCTTCTGTGAAACCACAGGTACTGGGCCAGGACCACCGCACAGGGCCAGACGTACATTCCATACTGGTGGTGCAGGACCTGGAGAGAAGACGGGTTGGCTTGTTTTTAAGTGTAGCGAAGTAGTTTTTATTGACTGAAACTTGCTTCGAAGCTGGATTAATAGTAAAGCAGGGAGGGTGTTAGCCTCAGACATAGCCAATCCTGGCCCCCTATGTGGTCCCCCAAGCATAACAAGCAGTGAACCCTGAGAACTGCTGGTATGACCCACATCCCCCAAAAACACTTGCAGACCGGAACAATCTTACAGTGAGCAGGGCATTGCCTTGAATGCGGCTGACTTGGATTCGATCCCCTGCATCCCATATGGTCCCCCAGCACCACTAGGAGTAATCCTGAGCATCACCAGGTGTACCCACTTCCAAAAAGAAAAGATGAGGAAAAGGGAAATATGTACTCAAGAACATATCTGGAGGGGCTGGAGTGATAACACAGCATTTGCCTTGCACGCAGCCGACCTGGGTTCAATTCCCAGCATTCCATATGGTCCCCTGAGCACTCCCAGGAGTAATTCCTGAGTGCATGAGCCAGAAGAAGTCAGCCCTGCGCATCGCTGGGTGTGACCCAAAAAAAAAAAAAAAAAGGAACCTATCTGGAAAACAAGCTTCTCCAGAGCAGAAATCAGCAAATACAGAGACAAACCAGCCATATGTTCAAAGAAGAACGTGAGCTTGAAAAAATGAGCCTGTCCAGAGACTATGAAATAAAGCTCCCAGAAGAGAGCAACATAGAATGTCCTGACTGCGAGCCAGGTTGTCTTCACCAGGGCAGCTGGGGGAGGGGGGGTTGAATGTCCCTCCCCACCCCAGCAGAACCCAAATGCAGCCATGCTCAAGGCCACTCTCCACAGGCTTGGACGAGTCTCACCTGTGACCAAACCTGCAGAAAACCCAGGTATGGGGACCCATGACTGAGATCTCCAAGCTTGCTAGGAATGGGACTGGGCCTCCTCCCCCAAGCTCCCCAGTTTTCCAGTAGCTTGGCAGTCACGCCCACAAACTGCCCCCCCCCCCCATGCCACATAATCTCATCAAGGCCAAGATTCAGAGACTGTGAAATAAGTTTCCCGGAAAAAGAGCAACACAAAACGTCCTGGACCTCTTATACTCTAGCCCACTGACTGATGTACCAAAAGTAGCACACATCTGTTTGGGTTAAACATACATACTTGTGATCTCTTATACAAAGGCTCTAGGATGAAAAACAACAATCTTCACCCACTTTCCTCTTACGGTGGTGGAAAGGTACATGTTGCTGGGATTGGTGTTTGAATATTATCTGTAATGAAGTATTATGAACAACTTTGTAAAAATGAAATTTTAAAAAAAGAAAAACAAACAAGCCTGGAAAAACATTTGTTTAGGGGTCAGACCCAGCAAGTGCTCAGAGCACCATATGGGATTAAAACACCTTCACCTCCCACCCCTGCAAAAAAATTTGGGAGCAACAAACACACTTGATACTGAAAGAAAATAGTCACACTTGTGCCCACACTCTCCATTACTAAAATGACAAGTTCCCTTTGCTCTAGTTTCCATCCCATGGAGGCATATAAAATAGCAATGCAGAACTGGAGCTATAGTACAGCGGGTAGGGCGTTTACCTTGCATGCAGCAAACCCAGGTTTGATCCCCAGCATCCCGTGTGGCCCCCTGAGCATCACCAGGAGTAATTTCTGACTGCAGAGCCAGGAGTAACCCCTGAGCATCAGCAGGTGAGACCCACAAAAGGCAAAAAAAACCCCAGCAATGCCATGTGCTAAGCCATGCCAGTAACTCACACTGCACTGGTCATCATAGCCCTAAAGGAACAGTGACAAACTCCCTACTCGGCGTGTACAGGCACCAAATATTTTTGTTTTGCTTTTTGGGGTCACACCCAGCATTGCTTGGGGGTTACTCATGGCTCTGCACTCAGGAATTACTCCTGGCAATTCTCGGGGTACCATATGGGATGCCAGGGATTGAACTTGTGTCGGTGGCCAGCAAGGCAAAAGCCCTCCCCACTCCAGCCCCGAGTGAGCACTTCTTGATGGGTGATCACGCACTGGCTGCGGGGGCTGTCCTGGACACAGCTTAAGTGGGAACTACATTTCTAGCCACCCACACACGGATACCAGGCAAGGCTGGAAGGCAGAAACGTCAATCAGACCCGTGAGACTTCTAGGCCAAAGGTAGGTGAACATCTGTTGAAGTTTTGGACCAGAAATGGTGCCCTGGGGTGTGAGGCCCTGGGGTTCCATCCCAACCATGACAAAAGAAAAGTTGGTTTGCCAACAGGGAACAGCTTGGTTGCAGGACGGTTGAATTCCAGTTAGGGAACTCAGACTTTGGAAAGCACTAACTTATGCAAGCGCTTGGCGAGATCGCTCACATTTACAATGATCCCGCTTCCGTTCCGACTCCAGATCTGAATTTACTAGTGGTGTGACCTGTAAGTTCAGATCTGGATTTTTGGGGGCAGACAGGGTGGGTGGAATGGAGAGTACTGCATCATGGCAGGAAAGCACTAGCCTCACGTGCCTCCCATCGGGTTTACTCCTAAACACTGCTGGATGTTGCTCCAAAGGCAAGCAGTTGCCCTGGAAGGAGTTCTCACTATGTTCCTGTGGGTTCCCACTATGAGGCCCGGCGGTTTGTCACCTATGAGGTGACCGCACTGCCATGTCTTCCAGGGACCAGCCTGCATCATCCTCAGGATATAATGGAGGAAAACCTCCCTGCGTGTCAACTGTCTGGAGACCCAGGATGGTCAGGCCCTGTTGGACTGGTGACTGCAGCCCGCCCAGAGTGCCCAGGTCGCGAACCTTGGTCCATGCAGGGGATCACTGCCATCACTGGGGTCTATGGGGTCAACCTGGGGACAATGGTGGTGGGAAATGTTGAAACATTGTTATGACTGAAATTCAATCATAAATAGGGTTTTGGTGGTCTATCTCATGGTGAGTCAACTTTAAAAAAATAGTAAAGTAAAGTAAAAGTAAAGGTCCTCCCGTTGTTCATCGATTTGCTTGAGCGGGCCCAGTAACGTCTCCATTGGAGACTTTGTTGTTACTGTGTTTGGCATATCGAATAGATCACGGGGAGCTTGCCAGGCTCTGCCGTGCGGGCGAGATACTCTCGGTGGCTTGCCGGGCTCTCCGAGAGGGGCGGAGGAATCGAACTCGGGTCGGCCATGTTGGCAGCGTGCAAGGCAAATGCCCTACCGCTGTGCTATCGCTCCAGCCCTTTAAAAAAATAAAGCAGTCAAAAGAAAAATATCTTTTTGGTTTTTTGAGCCACACCTGGCAATACGCAGGAATTACTCCTGGTGGTTGTCTGGGGACCATATGGTTGTCTGGGGATGCTGGGGATTGAACCCAGGTTGGCTGCATGCCTACCAGCTGTATCTCTTCAGCACCCTCAGTGCCCCCCCCCAAAAATTTTTTTTTTTTTTTTTTGCTTTTTGGGTCACACCCAGCGATGCCCTGAGGGTTTTTCCTGGGGATGCTTGGGGGACCATATGGGATGCCGGGATTGAACCCAGGCTGGTCACGTGAAGGCAAATGCCCTACCCAATGTACTATCACTCCACCCCTTCCCCCCCCAAAAAAAATTCTTAATGCAGCTTCAGGCCAATGAGGAAGTCACTAAGTCACTGCAAACTACTCAGTTACAATGCCAAGAATCCAATTGGTGATTAGATTATAAACTGGGAGGTACTTGATTCCCTTGAACGTGAATTTCAGATGTGGTTCCAGGGTCCAGTGCTTGCCGATGTGACCTGTATTAGATCTCCAAATGGCACTACAGAAAAATACTGAAACACTGACTCCCTGGAGAGTGGGGGCCCGCGGGGTGATTTGTCTCTGAAACCGGGGCAGTATATCAAGAAAATTTGGGAGTTTCCATTCTAAAGGGTACTAGGAGGGGACTGAGCACTCTATCATAAAGACCCGAAGGTCCAAACTTAACCAAGCAAATCACTTAACAAAGCTATTTCTGCTTAAACTCTGCTGCTAGCTTCCTGAGTACAGCGGGGACCCAGCAAGAATCAGAGAAAACTGATTCGCCTCCTGGATTTCATCTGGGATCTGACCAAAGTTACACAGATGTGATGTGATATAATCTCATAGGGTCTAATCTCACATGGTCTGTGGTCACACCCTAAATCTGGAAAGCAAGCAACTGGTATCTCAAACTGAACATCCCCAAACTCGGAGGTGGATTATCCTTTGACTTCACTAAATCCCAGCACGTTTCAGGCCAAAACGAGTCATCAAAAATCAAGCTTAAGTGTAATGAACAGCTGCAAATCGTAAATTCTTGGGAAATCTTGGGAAAGCGCGGCACCCTCGGGGAAAGCTGCTAGGACTAACCGGTTACTGGGCCGTCAGGAGCTTCGTGAGAGACCGTATTTGGACAGTAAGGTGCCACCCAGGTCTCAGGGCTGATCGGGGACGCCTTTGCAGAGTAATAAAAAGATCTAATTGCCACTGCTGGGGCTGGAGAGTTAGCACAGCGGGTAGAGCTATGCTTGCTGTGCAGGATGACGACTCGGGTTCGAATCACCGCAGCGCAGCACACAGGTTTCCCCCCCAGCACCATCAGGAATGCTTAGGAAGAGGAGTAACGTCACTGCCCTGGCAGCACCTATGGAGAGAGGGCTCCAACGAACTCCTGCTCCCTAAACTTCCTGCTGGGAAGACATTCAACGCCAGCCCTCGCGGCTCAGCGGTGCTCCCAAGGCAGGACCCCGGGGACCCCGATCCCCCAGCCCCATTTCCGCCGCCTCCCGGGAGGGGGCCGCGCTGCACGCACCTGCGGGACCCGCACCTCCAGCACGGCCCCCTGGGCGCCCGGGCCCCGCTCCTCCGAGAACCGAAAGCGCTGGACCCGGGCCACATGGCCTGGGAGGCCACGCCCGTCCGGAGGGGGGTCGGGGTGGGCAGGGGCCAGCTGAGGGCGCGGGGCTGCCAGCACTGCGCGGCGGGGAATTCCAGGCCGGCCGGACCGCCACCCAACGCCACGTGGCCCTCGCGGCCTGCGGGGGAACTACAAGCAGACGACGAGCGCGCGACAGGCTCCGACCCGCAAACGCGCCACCAGGCCCCGCCCGGGCGCCGGAAGCAGGCCCGGGGGAGGGGGGGCGGGGGGGGAAATAGGCGGAGAGGGTGGCGCCGCAGGAAGTGACGCGCGCCGGAGGCGACGGGGGCGGGGCCTACGGGGAGGGGCGCCTTGGGACCAGCCCGACCTTCCCAACATGGCGGCGAGGCGGTGCGCGGGGGGCGGAGCCCGGAGGGGCCCGGACCAATGGCGCGCCGCGAGCGGCCGGGGGGGCGGGGAGAACGGCCGCCGCAGGCCTGACCCGGAGCTCGGGCGGTGGTTGGGCAGTGAATTTTCTGGAAGGCGGCTTGAAAGGCGCCGGGCCCGAGCCGAGGGCGTTGCGTGGCCGCCGCCGGGACCTGGCAGCGGGGGGCGCGTGGGGGTTTGGAAGCGAGCGGCGCCCAGGTGGTCGCAGACTCCGCCGGCGACCCCCGCAGGATGAACCACAAGAGCAAGAAGCGGATCCGCGAGGCCAAGCGGAGCGCGCGGCCCGAGCTGAAGGACTCGCTGGACTGGACGCGGCACAACTACTACGAGAGCTTCTCGCTGAGCCCCGCGGCCGTGGCGGTGAGCGGCGCCCCGGACCCCCGCGCGGCCCCGCCCGGGAGCGCCCCGCGCGCGCCCCCCGGGCCCGGCGACCCCAACCCCCCCGCCCGGCGTCCCCATCCCCGCCCGTCCCAGCGCCCCTAAACTCTGGCCTGTCTCCCCGCCCGGCGTCCCTAACCCCGGCCCGGCGCCCTCCGTCCGCCCCGGCGCCCCCTAACCCGGGCCTGGCGCCCCCAACCCTGGCCCGTCTTCCCCGCGCCCGCCCTGCCCGCCCCGGCACCCCCCACCCGGTGCCCCCAACCCCGCCCGTCCCAGCGCCCCTAAACCCTGGCCTGTCTCTCCAGCGCGCCCCCCCCCGCCGGCCTGGCGCCCCCTAACCCGGGTCTGGTGCCCCCAACCCTGGCCTGTCTCCCCTGCACGCCCAGCCCGCCCCTGCAACCCCCACCCGGTGCCCCCAACCCCGCCCGTCCCAGCGCCCCTAAACCCTGGCCTGTCTCTCCAGCGCGCCCCCCCCCCCCCCCGCCGGCCTGGCGCCCCCTAACCCGGGTCTGGTGCCCCCAACCCTGGCCCGTCTCCCCTGCACGCCCAGCCCACCCCTGCACCCCCCACCCGGTGCCCCCAACCCCGCCCGTCCCAGCGCCCCTAAACCCTGGCCTGTCTCTGGCGCGCCCCCCCCACGCCGGCCCGGCGCCCCCTAACCCGGGTCTGGTGCCCCCAACCCTGGCCTGTCTCCCCTGCACGCCCAGCCCGCCCCTGCAACCCCCACCCGGTGCCCCCAACCCCGCCCGTCCCAGCGCCCCTAAACCCTGGCCTGTCTCCCCGCCCCGCGCCCCTAACCCCGGCATCTCCCGCCCCTCGCAGGATAACGTGGAGCGCGCCGATGCGCTGCAGCTGTCAGTGGAGGAGTTCGTGGAGCGCTACGAGCGGCCCTACAAGCCCGTGGTGCTGCTCAACGCCCAGGAGGGCTGGTCAGCGCAGGGCAAGTGGACGCTGGAGCGCCTGAAGCGCAAGTACCGCAACCAGAAGTTCAAGTGCGGGGAGGACAACGACGGCTACTCAGTGAAGATGAAGATGAAGTACTACATCGAGTATATGGAGAGCACGCGCGACGACAGCCCCCTCTACATTTTCGACAGCAGCTATGGCGAGCACCCCAAGCGCAAGAAGCTGCTGGAGGACTACAAGGTGCCCAAGTTCTTCACCGATGATCTGTTCCAGTATGCGGGGGAGAAGCGCAGGCCGCCCTACAGGTAACGGCCCGGTGTGCCCGGCGGTCACGGAACAGTGGCTGTCCCGTCCGATGCCCGGGGGTGCTGAGCTGAGCTGCTGGGTCTGATGTCTGACATGGGGGGGGGCCTTGTAGCCCGAAGTAAGGACCAGGTGTACCCTGGAGACGGCCCGGTGTTAATTCCCGCCTTGGGCATTTCATCCCCTAGGTGGTTTGTCATGGGGCCGCCGCGCTCGGGCACTGGAATTCACATCGACCCCCTGGGGACCAGCGCCTGGAACGCCCTGGTGCAAGGACACAAGCGCTGGTGCCTGTTCCCCACCAGCACGCCCCGGGAGCTCATCAAGGTGACTCGCGAGGAAGGCGGCAACCAGCAGGACGAGGCCATCACGTGGTTTAACATCATCCACCCCCGGACGCAGCTCCCCACCTGGCCGCCGGAGTTCAAACCCCTGGAAATCTTACAGAAACCTGGAGAGACTGTTTTCGTGCCAGGTACCAATGGGCCGGAGGAGGCCCCTTCTTTGGCTCGCGCTCGGTAGTGGAGCAGAGTCCCGGGGGGCCGCTGTCTGCTCCTCGAGCCCCAGGCAGATGACTTGCTAAGCCACCTGCCCCGGCCCCGGGCCCCCTGCAGCAGGTTTTCGCCCATTTCTGTAAGTCGGGCTTGGAAGCAGGATTTCTGGCTGGGGCCCGGCCCGTGCCCTGCGTGGCCACCTTCTGGCTCCCAGCTAGGAACTCCAGGAAGCAGCGCTTTTTTATTATTATTTTTTGTTTGTTTGTTTTTTTCTGAATTGCCTTTTGGGTGGGAGCTGGAGCACAGCTGGCTGTGTCCTCAGCTCACCCCCAAGCAGTGCTGGGTGGCGGGGTACATGCCAGGGACATGTGCCAGGCCTGTGCTCAGCCCATGTGCCGTCTCTCAGCCCCGCCAATGGCCTGTTTCTGGGGGCGCTCAGGGCGGCATCCCCAGCGGGGCCGCACCCGCTCACCCACCCCTGTTGGCTTTCAGGAGGCTGGTGGCACGTTGTGCTCAACCTCGACACCACCATCGCCATCACCCAGAACTTTGCCAGCAGCACCAACTTCCCTGTCGTGTGGCACAAGACGGTAAGAGGGAGGCCGAAGCTCTCGAGGAAGTGGTACAGGTGAGTGGCCATCTGCTTCCTCTTTCTTCTGCGTGGGGGAGAGGTCAGGGCCATGCCCCGATGGGCCAGCCTGGCGGGCCCGGGCACTCTCTTCTCGTGGGCCCTGTGCGTTGGTTCCGTCTCCGAAGCCGGAGGTCTGGGGTCTGTTTTGGTGCTTCCTTTTTTTGTGGCCGCAGCCCCCTCCCCACTCGAATGTCCTCCCCAAGTTCTTATGAGCAAGCGTCCTGGAGACTCAGCTCTCTGTTTATCCACAGAACAGATACTGCACGGGCAGCGGCAGTGCCAGCCACCCCCAGCCACCCCGTGCCACTGTACCCCAACCCTGGCCTGGAGGGACCAGCTCTCGGGGTAAGAGGGGTTCCGGCTTGGTGCTCGGCCTCCCTGCGGAGAGGCCGAGCAGGGGTGGTGGCCGTGTGCCCGAAGGCTTCGTGCCAGGCAACGAGGGGAGGGCGCGGCCACGGCCCCCCGCCCCGGGGACCTGCTGGGGCTGTGTCCTCGGCCGCTGTTTCTCATGGCCACTGGCTGCCAGACTGACAGGCGAGCCTGACCCCAGCCGCCTCTTGCTGCTTAGGGCCGTGCTGTGGCAGGAAAGGTGCTCGGTCCACTGCGGGGACTGTCCCCAGGGGTCCGCTGGCCGGGGCCGCTCGGCCCCGCGTGACCCGGCCCCACGCGCTCTGGGCCTGCCGCCGGTCTGGCACTGCGGGTAGCTGGTTTTCCTCCCGGAAGAGCCGGCGTGGCCTCCGCTGTGGTCGCAGCCCTTCCTCGAGGGGCGTCTCAGCCGCCCGCGCTCACGGCCCCATCTCCCACAGGATCCTGAAGCAGGAGCACCCCGAGCTGGCCGTGCTGGCCGACTCCGTTGACCTGCAGGAGTCCACGGGCATTGCCTCGGACAGCTCCAGCGACTCCTCCAGCTCCTCCAGCTCCAGCTCATCAGACTCAGACTCGGAGGTGAGGCTGCGTGGGAACTTGCCCGCGAGCGTGTGAGGGACAAGGGGGATGGGGGAGCATGCCGGGCGGGGGCCCCTGCTGCCCGGCAGCAGTTTACGCTCCCATTCGCATGCCCAGACCCCGGGAACCCCCCCGAAACCCTGCCCTGTAGGAAGGACGGGGGAGTCGGGGCACCCTGGGGGCTGCACCGAGCCCTCGGGGACCGGCTGGTCCCTGTGAGACTTGGCCAGGCCACAGCTTGGCTCTGCTCTGGGGGGGACCTCGTGTCTGCCCAGCCCTGGGGCTGGCAGAGAGATGCTGCCCGCGACCCACCAGCGCTGACCAGCGTGAGCAATCAGCAGCCTCTTCCCCGCAAATGGCTCATCCCGCGGGCCTGGGCTGGGCGACTGTCCTGGCGGGCTGATGTTCGTCTGGCTGATGTCCTGAATGTTTGGCCTCCCTCCTGCAGTGCGAGTCGGGGTCCGAGGGCGATGGCGCAGCACACCGCAGGAAGAAGCGGAGGACGTGCGGCATGGTGGGCAACGGGGACACCACCTCCCAGGACGACTGTGTGAGCAAAGAGCGCAGCTCGTCCAGGTGACCCCCGGTGCGCACAGTCCCGCCGTGCCCGTCTCCGCGGCCGCCGGGGTCTCCAGGGCCAGCCTGAGAGGGCGTCCGAGGGGTCCGCAGACCAGGGCGGGCCCAGGCGCCGGGAGCAGGGCCGAGTCACAGCTGCAGCTCCGGGAGCTTCGCTCTGCTCCCAGGTGTGGGGCGGCCGGTGACGCGTGATGGAAGGAGAGTCTGTGGAAGGTGCCAAGGAAACCCTTTACATTATTTAATAAAAATCCAGCTCATTTTATCTCCTGGGAAGTGTTTTCCTTGGAGACTTCCCCCCTCCCCCGGTGCTTTCGGCCTGCAGGGGGTGCTGGTGAGGCCTCGTGCCCCTGCAGAGTCCAGCCAGCTTGTCCAGCTGGCTTAGTTCTGTTGGGTTTGCTTTGTAAGCCAGGTGGGGTTTCCATCAGACGATCGGGTGTCTGGGTCGGGGAGCCAGCCTCTCAGAGGCCGACCCAGCAGACTTGGGGTGTGGCGGCTGTGCGCCCCAGGACCAAGCCTGCCCTTTGCCTCTGGAGGCGGGGGCAGTGGTTGACCGTGACAGTGGTTGGGATTGTAGAGTCCAGAGGGCCTGAGCCGTCCGCTGCTGCAGGTGACAGCCTGTGAATTCGTCGTGCCCAAGCAACTTTGTGTCTTTATTTTCTTTCACTGCCACTGTTTTGGGGGTGCACCTGGTGGTGCTGTGCTGTGCAGTGCTGGGGAGCGAACCTGGCCTCATCCCCTTCAGCCATCTCCGGCCCGCGCGTGTTTTCTGATATATCTTGGGGCCAGAGTCATTGGCATAGCGGGGAGGGCACTGGCCTTGCAAATGTGGCCAGCCCAGGTTGGATCCCCGCCATTTGTATGGTCCCCTGAGTACTGTCAGGAGTGATGGAAGCTCCGTCAGGATGCAGAGCCTCGGGAACCCCTGTGCACTACTGGGTGTGGCCTCATATCTCTGCCATCACCAGGGACGGCCACCCCCAGAGGTCTCCCCCGTGTTTACAGGACCAGGCCTGTTTCTCCCGCGCCCAGACAAGGCACCGGGAGAAGCTCCGGTTTCTCTCCATACCTGGCTGAGGCTCCGGGTGTCCTGAGGGAGCTCCCAGCTCCCAGCGGAGTCGCCTCCTGCAGGGCCCCTCAGGGTTTCCAGCAGCTGCTCCTGGGGGCTGGGCACACCCCAGCGGCAGTGCAGATGCCCAAGGCACCCCCAGAGAGCAGACTCCTTTCTTAAAGCCCGAGCCAAGGCCTCACCGTGGCCATCCACCTGCCAAGCCCAGTCCCGCACCAGCATGACGCAGGCCCCCAAGAAGCTCCAGGTGTGAACCCTGGGCACTACCAGGTGGGACTCCCGATCAGGAAAAGGGCTGGGGGGAGAGAAGCCGCAGGTGCTGGGAGTGGAGGGCCAGGCCGGGCGCCCCCGAGGCTCGTGCAGCCTGTCCTTCCTGAGGGAGGCGAGTGCTCCTTCCACGGAGCTGCCCGCACCCCCAGGGACCTCCCAGAGGCTGAGGGGATGCAGGTCTGTGGGGACATGGTTCCTGAAAGCTTCTGCGGGTCATTGTGTGGTGGCTGTCTTGGGGTCCAGACTGTGCCTACGGTGTTCTGAGGGGTGGACCGGGTGGGCAGGCGGCAGGAACAGGGTCAGTGTCTCGTGTGATGTCACAGAACGGGAGTCCTACCCACCGGAGCACCCTGTCCCTCACACACCAGTGGGCCCGCGAGGCAGGAAGCCAGCTCCCTGTGACTGAGTGGGTGGGTGGGCGCAAGACGCCCTAGCCAGGCTCTCACCCGGCCTGACTACACCGGAAGCCTGAGCCCCCGCAACTTAAGAAAAAGAAAGAGGAACTGGCCTATGGGACAGACCCCTGAGAAGTGTTGAAGCAGGCAGGAGGGTCAGGGAGCCCCCCGCAGCCTGTGATCCCAGGATCAGAGATGTTTGTGCACACGTGTGTACCTGCGTGTACATGAGCATATTGTGCCTGTGTGCTTGTGTGTATGCGTATGTGTTTGTGTGCACCCCTGCCGCATCAAAGCATTCCGCTGGGCCAGAGATGGCCCGACGGGCTGAGCGTGCGCTGCGTGCAGCAGGAGATCCTGGCTGGGAAAAGCCCTAGAGTGCTGGGTGTGGTCTCCATAGCAAACCACCAGCCAAACAGCTGGAAAACTGAGGCTCCATTGTACCCCGCCGACGGTGGCCACAGTGCCCTCTGGTGGTGGTATTTACCAGGCTCGGTTTGTCGCGAATTCCCAAGCTGGAGTCCTAAAGGGCAGGACCCACCCTTCCCCCTCCCTCTACGGAGGGCCGCTGGGTCTGTCTGCCCATCTCTGCATCTCTGAGCTCTTTCTGTCCCTTGCGCCAGCTCCTAGACTGACATTGTAGCTGTCACAGGGATGAAACGCGGTCCTCGTTTTAAGTAAAACAACTTGATTTGAAGTCAGAGCAATGGTTCAGTCAGTAGGGCCTTGCACACAGTTGGCCAACTTTGATCCCCCGCATCCCATATGGTCCCCTGAGCCCCTCAGAAGTAATCCCCGAGTGCAGAGCCAGGAGTGAGCCCTGAGCACAGCTGGGGGTGCCTCCCTCCCCCCCCCCAAAAAAAGAACTTCATTTGGAGTCAGGATTTTGCATTGATTTACTCCTTTTCTCATTGGTTTATGCTATTGATTCTCATGTGAAAGTCAATAACTGAGTAAAAGAGCTTGCACATCTGGGATTTCTGGTTTTTTTTTTCCCCTTTAGTTTTTGGGCCACACCCAGCATAGATCAGGAGTTACTCCTGACCCTGCGCTCAGGAGTCAGTCCTGGCAGTCCCGGGGGACCATATGGGATGACAAAAGGACCAAACCCAGGCCAGCCACGTGCAAAGCAAGCACCCTGCCCACTGCACCATCGCTCCGGCCCCTTTACATTATACTTTTGGGGCCAGGAATGTTGCTCCATCCTGGAGCACACCTGAAGCCCCTAGACTCCATCCCTACCACCAAATATTTTTTTTTCCCCCAAATACTTTTAACCAGAGAACAGGGAACAAAAAGACAATCTCCAACACTTTGAGACCTCATGGTCAGAAATTCAGATCCAGGGCCAGAGCAATAGTACAACAGGCAAGGTGCCTGCCTGGCATGTGGCTGATCCAGGTTTGATCCCCAGCACGACATAGGGTCCCCTGAGTACCATCAGGAGTGATCCCAGAGTGCAGGGCCTGTAGCAAGTAAGCCCTGAGCACAACTGGGGGTGACCCCTCAAAACAATGATTTCGAGTCCGTGAATTGCTGACAGCTGAAGTCACCTGAGGCTGAAATCCCGGAGTGAAGTCGGGAGGGCAGAGGAACGCTTTGGGTTACAACATAAGTATCTCAAACAGTCACAGTTCAGCGACACAGTCTGGAAGGACAAAGAAGCAACATAGAATAGTGCCCTTTCGCCCTCATTCCTCTGCCTACCTCAGAACTTTCTGGAAAGGTTAGTGAGGGGGAGAGTTCATCTGAAGCAGCTCGAGCAGAATTCAGGAATTCCAGAACTCAGTCTCAGGCTGCAGCCAGGGAGCTTGACTGGCCGCCAGCAGGAGGCGCTGCTCCAGCCCGCACCAGAACCAACCTGAAGCACAGAGCTGGGAGTAGCCCCTGAGCACCATGGGGAATGACCCAAAAACAAAATAAAAAAGGCTGCTCTCAGGGGTTACTCCTGCCTGCACTCAAGAGTAAAGGCAGCAGGGGCTGAAGTAAAGTACTGCGGGTAGGGCATTTGCTTTGCACATGGCCGACTGGGGTTCGATCCCTAGTATCCCCCGAGCACCGCCAGGACTGATTCCTGAGTGCAGAGCCAGGAGTAACCCCTGAGCATTGCTGGGTGTGACCCAAAAAGCCAAAACAACAACAACAACACATACACACAAACAGTAAAGGCAGCAGGATTGAGCATAAGGGGCTACAGGTTGGTGGGCTCTTGGTATCTTGGGAGCCAGTGCACAGTGAAGGGACGTGAGTTTTCCTGGCTTTACTCGGTCCTCAGTACTCCCCAACCAGCCATATTTTCCAGAATGTTCCCAATAGGATGATCTACATAGAACCAAAATGGTGCAGACAGATGAGTGAAATGATGGGCCAGAGCCATAGTATAGCAGGGAGCGCATGTGCTTTGCACGCAGCCAACCCAGGTTCAATCCCCGGCCTCCCCTAGGGTCCCCGAAGCCCCTCCAGGAGTGATCGCTGAGCTCAGAGCCCAGAGTCAGCCCTGAGCATCACCAGGTGTGCCCACCCCCCCCCCCAAAAAAAAACGAGTGAAATTTAATCTTCAAACTGCGTTTCACACAGAACTTGAGTGCAGAGAGGCGGACCTGCCCCTCCTCGGGCCTCACGCTGAGCTGACCAAGGGGCCTGGGCACTTTGCCACCCAGCATCAGTCACTTGCAAGGTCGGGGAGAGCAGTCCCAGAGGGTGGAGCGCGGCCAGGTTTTTAATAGAGGCTCCTTTCCACAGGCGGGGCTCAGACATAGGCCCACCCCCGGCGGATCTCGGGCAGAGGCCCCGCCCCATGGGTGGGTCTAGGGTAGGGGCCCCGCCCTCGAGGACGGATCTCGGGTAGGAGCCCCGCCCCCGAGGACTGATCCCGGGCAGACGCCCTGCCCATGGGTGGATCTCGGGTAGGAGTCCCGCCCCTGAAGACTGGTCCCAGCCAGAAGCCCCGCCCATGGGCGGATCTAGGGTAGGAGCCCCGCCTCTGAGGATGGATCTCCTGTAGAAGCCCCGCCCCCGAGGACTGATCCTGGGCAGACGCCCTGCCCATGGGTGGATCTCGGGTAGGAGCCCGGTCCCCGAGGACTGAGCCCAGGCAGAGGCCCCGCCCGTGGGCGGATCTAGGGTAGGTGCCCCGCCTCCGAGGACGGACCCCGGGCAGAGGCCCCGCCCCATGGGCGGATCTCAGGTAGGAGCCCCGCCCCCGAGGACCGATCCCGGGCAGACGCCCCGCCCATGGGCGGATCTCGGGTAGGAGCCCCGCCCCCGAGGACCGATCCCGGGCAGACGCCCCGCCCACGGGCGGATCTCGGGTAGGAGCCCCGTCCCCGAGGACTGAGCCCAGGCAGAGGCCCCGCCCGTGGGCGGATCTAGGGTAGGTGCCCCGCCTCCGAGGACGGACCCCGGGCAGAGGCCCCGCCCCATGGGCGGATCTCAGGTAGGAGCCCCGCCCCCGAGGACTGATCCCGGGCAGACACCCCGCCCCGTGGGCGTGGCGGGGGCGGGGCGCCGCTGGCTTCTCGGGGTCCGGCCGGGCCGCACTCCGGCGGCCGCGGCGCGATGGAGGCGCCGGCCGAGCTGCTCGCGGCGCTGCCCGCACTGGCCACCGCGCTGGCGCTGCTGATCGCCTGGCTGCTGGTGCGGCGCGGGGCGGCCCAGAAGTCCGCGCCCGGGGGACCCGGGAAGGCCAATGGACGGCGGCCGGCGGAGCAGGAGGACACCGAGCCGAGAAAGGTACGACGCGGCCGTCCCCGCGCCCCGCAGGACGGCGCCCGGCGGGCACGCTGGCCAGCTCCCGCGGGCTGCGCTGTGCTCTGCGCCCCCGCCCGGGCACACCCACCCGCACCCCTCACCCCTGCGCGCCGGCCCCAGCCACGTGCCGCGGCCCCCGAGGCCCACGCGACAGTCGTCATGGTCGTGGACGAGCCGCGTGGAAGGAGGAAGGACCCGGCAGCCGACCCGGTGGGAATCGGAGTCCGGAGCAGTGATGTCATAGGTGCCAAGCCTGGGGGGGCAGGACTGGACACCACGCACCGCCACCGGCCAGGCCTCCCACTGCCCAGTCCAGGCACGCTACCCTCCCCGGCCCGCCCCCACGCCCGCCCCCCACGCTGGCCGGGAGCCCAGCCTCCCTGCGCTCTGCTGGACATTCCGCACCCATACCGTGTCCACCCACCCCCGGGGCCCCTTAACTGAGGCCTGGCTGTCTGGACGGGGAGGCCTGACTCCAGCCCTCAGCCCCCAGTCCCCACACCAAGATCTCATCACCCCCAGCAGCCCCCCAGAGCGCAGCGCTGTGTTCTCCCTCCCCAGACCCTCGCCTGCCCCGTTGGGGGAGGGACACGCCATGGCACAGCCAGCGGCTCTGTCGTCAGCAGCTTTTCCTGCCCACTTTGTGTCTTCCTGGACACAATAGGTGGAGGCCCCCGCCCCCACCCCGCAGGCAGAGCCAGGGAGGCTGTGCACCCGGACCCCCGCCCAGCTGGGCAACTGACAGCCGTGAGCGATGGCTCGTTAGGCTCAATAGGGGCAGTGTTCTCCACAGGGACCCCCACCCAGCTGCGCGCCTGCGCCCCAGGACAGGGACTGCGAGGCCCTCCCCACCCGGCTGCCCCTCCAGCTGATAGTCCTGCAGGGAAGAGGGCGGCTGTGCCACTTTGCCTCTGGCAGGGAGAAGGCATGGCTAGGGCCCAGGAGGGCCAGCAGCTGCCTTGGGGGACCCCGGGGCCAGCCCAGGCTTGAACTCTCAGCACTGACGCCAGCTGCCAGGGGAGCTGATTTGTGTGGTGTGTCCCGAGAGTGCCGTGTGCACAAGTCAGCCTCGCTCGTGCCCCTCGAGGCCTGTCCCGCACACAGCAGGTGTCCCCCTGCCCCCCAGGGCCTGGGAGCAGGTGCCCCTGGCCCCCACCCACCCGTCTTCCCGGCAGTGAAGTGACCCCAGGCAGAGGCTGGTGAGAAACTGTGGACATGAGGGAGGGGATTTTTCAGAGCAGATTCTAGCACTTTCTTTGCCTATGGAGCCTGGAGAGCTCTCTGTCGTCCCCACCCCAGCCCTGGGGGAGGCCGCTGGTCAGGCCCCTGCCAGCTTGGGCCTCTTCAGAGCCCAGGGGAGCCCCCCTCCCCTCCCCCCATGCCATCCCCCTTCCCATCAGCGTCTCCCTTCTACCAGCAGGTCCCGCCAGCCCAGGCCTGGGGCTTTGCTGCTCCACGCTGATCCCCAGCTGATCCCTGGCTGGAAGCAGCTGTGCAGGCGTGGGGTGGGGGGCCTGAAGGGGCTAAGAAACGGGGGGCGGGTGGCTGTGGGATCTGCCTGGCCAGGACAGGGGCCAAGCAGAAGGCAGCCTCATTACTAGAGCCCCTTGTGGTTTCTCTCCCAGGGACACGTGTGCGGGTGACCGGCACCCTGACCCTCCTCCTTCACAAAGAATTACAAGCCAGAGTGGGAAGTGGATTTTTTTTTTTTTGCTTTTGCTTTTTGGGTCATACCCGGCGATGCTCAGGAGTTGCTCCTGGCTCTGCACTCAGGAATTACTCCTGGCAGTGCTCTGGGAACCATATAGGATGCTGGGAATCGAACCCGGGTTGGCCGCATGCAAGGCAAACGCCCTACCTGCTGTGCTATCGCTCCAGCCCCGGGATGTGGCTTTTAAGGTGCAGCTCTGTTGGGGGGGAGCATCAATCTTTCAGGCAGGACCAGAGCCCCCCTTCCTGTCACTGTCCCGGCCTTCATGGTGTCCCGGTGGCCCTGAGATCTGCCCTCTGTCCAAAGCCCAGAAGCAGGTAAGGGAGGGCAGCTGGCTTTGGGGGGCACCAGGCCCTCCCTGCCCTCCACGGCAGACCTCACTACCTGGTCAGTTCCACGGCGAGCAAACACCAGCAAACACCCTCAGCAGACGTGCACTTGGAGATGCCTTTGGGCCTCAGTTTCTGCACCTCAAAAATGAAGGCAGGATGGAGAGACAGTACAGGGGTTATGGCGCTTGCCTCGAATGTGGCCAACCCCACCTGGGGCCCCAGCACCACGTATGGTCTCAGCACGCCACTTGGAGTGAGTCCTGAGCCTGGTGTCGCCACCAAATCAAAACAAGTGAAGGGGTTGTGTTAAAATGAGGTGCCAGAGTGATAGTACAGCAGGTAGGGCTTTTGCCTTGCACACAGCCGACCTGGGTTCGATCCTTGCATCCCATAGGGTCCCCTGAGCACCGCCAAGAGTAACCCCTGAACATCGCTGGGTATGACACAAAAAAAAGCAAAAAAATTCAAAATAAAAAAAAAGAGAGACTGCAGGGGGCTAAGTGTGGCTCGGCGCGGCATTGCATGCCAAGTATCTGGGTATCTCCAGCACCCGGGTGAGAGAGCCAACCTGCATCCCATCCCCAGCACCCTGTATGGTCCCCAGAGCCCATCCAGGAGTGAACCCTGAGCACAGAGCCCAGAGTCAGCCCTGAGCACTGCCAGGTAGGAAGAAAAGGGAGGCCCTGCCAGCCTTGGTCTGCACCCTACTACCCACTCCTGGGCCAGAGTGCTGCTGCCTGAGTACTGAGTACTATGTCCTGAGTATTGCCCTATTGGCCAGCCTGAGCCCGGCTTGAGTTTGCCCTGGACACCTTCTCAGCCAGGGGAGGCGGCCTCGGCATCGGAGCCCTCTGGGGGTCCCGGAGGGCAGGCGGCAGATACCAGCCCGGGTCCAGCCATCCGTCCACTCATCCCTCGGAGTAGAAACTGCATGGACGGTGGGTATCTTGGACCCATCCCCCGCCTCCATCAGTGCCTCTGAGGGTCCCTGAGCTGCCCGCTCTCAGTTCTCCCGGCTCTCACTTAGCCTGGGTTTCTCCGTGAACCCTGAAAGGCTGGTGGCCGCGGTATCCCCTAGGGCAACTCTCTCTCAGAGCTTGACCAAGCCCGAGGCTGGAGCAGGGCAGGAGCAGTGAACTGACAGGACAGAGCATCCACCCACGCATGGCGCCTCTGGGCCTGGACCTGAGGCCCAGGGTCCAGGAGGCTCCTCGGGGTCTGGACTGGGACGGAGGCTGCAGGCGGCCCCCACCCCCGTCGTGCTCCGACCCCCCCACATTCGCCCCCACCTCCCTGCCGGGGGCTTGACGGAGGAAGAGCCCCCCCAGGAAGTGAAGAGAGCGTTTCCTGCAGGCCCGCCCCTGCGGCTGCCGTCCAGAAACCTCCAGCTCTGGAGCTGACCCGAGGCCAGGCCAGCCCCAACCCAGCAGCTCAGACAGACAGCCCGGCTGTCCAGTGAGCACCGGCAGTCAGCACTTCTGCCCCCCCACCAGCCAGGTGTGCCCTCCAACCCCGTGGCCCCCCTCAGTTCTGTCTGCTCCACTCAGCTGCTCAGACCCGGAACCCAGGACACACTGCACCTCTTCCTCCAGGCAGGCACTCTGGGTTGTTCAGTAACCAACTTCCCAGTTCCTTCCCCGCCTGTATCCACACCCGGCCTGAACCGCTTCTGCTTAAATCCCTTCACACAGGGGTTTCTGCTGCAGAAAGCCTGCCCGGGTGGGCTTGCCCAAGGTGAAGCAAGTCCAAGGATGTGTGTCCCACGAAGAAGAGAGGGTCGGGCGAAGCCCCCTCCCAGGGGCAGGCCAGGCTGGGCCATTGCAGGGAGCAAGGGCAGAGGCCTCGTGTTCCCACTGAGGCCGAGACAAGAGAACCACAAAGGCAGGGAGCTGGCCCAGAGGTGTGTGCAAGGCCCCCAAATGAGCCCTCACACTGCATGGCACCCTGAGTGCTCGGGGCTGGCCCGAGCACAGGGTGGGCTCCCAACCATTGGGCCTGCACCCCGAGGCCAGGGAGCGCTGGGCAGGCTTCCCACCCAGTATATCAACTTTTTTGTTTGTTTGAGACACACCTGGCAGTGCTCAGGGCTGACTCCTGGCTCTGTGCCCAGGGCTGACTCTGGCTCTGTGCTCAGGGCTGACTCCTGGCTCTGCGCTCAGGGCTGACTCCCAGCTCTGTGCTCAAGGCTGAGTCCCGGCTCTGTGCTCAGGGCTCACTCCCAGCTCTGTGCTCAGGGCTGACCCCTGACTCTGGTCAGGGCTCACTCCTGGTGGTCTTGGGGGACCATGTGGCCTGCTGGGGATTGAACCCGGGTTGGCCGTGTGCAAGGCAAACGCCGTCCCCACCTCGGGGGTAGCTCCTGGCAGTGCTCAGGGGCTGTGGCACCATACCCCAGACTCCCATGCAGAGCCCCCAGGAGCCGTGCAGGGCCTCTGTTCTGAGCAGCCGAGGCTCAAAAACCTGATTTCAACTGGCATCCCACGGGTGGGGGCCCAGAGCCGCACTGCCCACAAGGCCGGTGGATGCGGCGTGCACTACTGTGTGTCCTAATCCCAGGGTGCCCGCAGGGCTGCCCCTTAACCTGGGGAGGGGTGGACACCACCAGCATCGTGCCCAGCATGGAGCTCCTCATTGGAGCTCCTGCCCGGCCGGGCGTCCATCCTGGATGCCGTTTCGTTCAAATCGTTTGCATGAGCCAGGACCTGGACACACACACACCCCACCCCGGACACACACATACACACCACACACACACCACCCTGAACACACACGTGCGCACACTTCAGGCACCCCCACACCCCACTACACACACAGACCACACCACACACACACACCCCACACCCCGGATACACATATACACCTCCCACATCACACACACACCCCAACACACCCTGGACACACACATACACACACTCCAGACACACATACACATACCACACAAACACACACATACACACATGCACACACACACACACACCACTACACACACACCCCACTCCCTGGACACACAAACATACCTCCCACACCAAACACACCCTGGACACACACGTGCACACACTATGGACATCCCCCCTCCCACCGCCCTGAGCAGCACCTCTTGGGCCTGCTGTGGCGACTGACCCTGAGCCGGTTGGAACCAGGAAACCCGTGGCTTGGAATCTAACCCCCACCTGCCGGCTGCGACCTCTTCCACCCTCGTCACTGCCCAGCTGGCCCCAGGCAGCCCCTGACCGAGCTGCGCAGTGGACCTGGTGGGTAGCTGTGGGCAGACCCAGGAAATAACGGCTCTGGGTGTGGTGCCGGAGGATGGGCTGGTGGGCCGTGGGCATCGGCCGCTTCTTGGCACGGGGGACATCACGCTGCTTCACTTGAAGTCGGAAGCGTGTTTGGCACAGCGGGGAGGGCCTTTGCCTTCTGTATGATTGACCCGGGTTCGATCCCCGGCACCCCATATGGCCCCCCAAGTCCCTGAGCGCAGAGCCAGGAGTGACCCCTGACCACCACTGGGCATGGCCCCAGACCAGAATGAAGGTGTTCAGGAGCCACCTGCTGGGCGTGTTCCCTGACGCCTGCCTGCGTGTGGCCCCTTCCACGTCAGGTCGCCTCTGCCCCGTAGCCAGCACCCAGGCGACAGCGGACACGGCCACAGGCTCACCCTCTCCTTGTCCACAGGAGGAGAAGCGGCAGCTGGACAGGAAGCCGGACATGGCCCAGGCAGAGTCTGAGGAGGACACCGGTGAGGCGGTGGGGGTGGCCGGGCGGGGACACAGAGGCCAGGGAGTAGCTGCGGGGAGGGAGACCACAAGAGGGACTGAGGGTCTGTGGGACTGTGGGTGTGTGTGGACTGCGGGTCTGTGGGGACTGTGGGTGTGGCGCTGTGAGGCTGTGGGCCTGTGGGCCTGACAGGGCTGTTGGCGCTGTGGAAACTGTCTCTGGGACTTTGAGTGGCAGCTGGTAGATGTCACACAGGAGTGGCTGTGAATCCCCGGCAGGGCCAGCTGAGTGCTCACAACTTCCCTTGTGCACCCTCACCTGCCCCCCACCCGGCTCCCCCTCTGCTCTCCCTTTCCCCTTTCCCCTGCCTCCCTTAACTCCCTGCCTCCCTCTGACTCCCCCTGCCCGCCCCTGAGCTCCCCCTGCCCCCTGAGCTCCCCCCAGCTCCCTGCCTCCCCCTGAGCTCCCCCTGCTCCACCTTAGCTCCCCCGGCCCCCCCCAGCTCCCCCTGCCCCCCTGAGCTCCCCCTGCCTCCCCCTGAGCTCCCCCTGTCCCCCAGCTCCCCTGCCCCCAGAGCTCCCCCAGCCCCCACCTTAGCTCCCCCTGCCCCCCCAAGCTCCCCCTGCCCCCCTGAGCTCCCCCAGCCCCCACCTTAGCTCCCCCTGCCCCCCCAAGCTCCCCCTGCTCCACCTTAGCTCCCCCTGCCCCCCCTGAGCTCCCCCTGCCTCCCCCCAGCTCCCCCTGCCTCCCCCCCTCAGCTCCCCCTGCCTCCCCCCCCCCCCCCCGGCTCCCCCTGTCTCCCCTGAGCTCCCCCTGCCCCCCTCAAGCTCCCCCTGCCTCCCCCTGAACTTCCCCTGCTCTCTACTGTCCCTGCCCTGCCCTTCCCGTGACCTAGAGGGGCAGGGCCATTGGCCCTGTCTGGGCTGGAGCTCAGCTGGCAGTGTGTGGCAGGGTGGGGCAGGGTGGGGCCAGACTCCAGCCCTTCCAGGGGTCCCTTCCATCCCCCAACCCCACTCAGACCCCTCCCGCTGTCCATGGCCAGCTGCCATACCAGGCATGGAGGTTTCTGACTCGTGTCACCAGAAAACCTTAGTGTCCTGTCAGTGCCCCACTGGAGCTTAGGGATCAGTGTCCCTCAGACTACGAGGGGGAGTGGTGGGAGGGGGGCTGCAGGCCAGGAGGGGACACCTGGCACCCCTGCACACCCCCGCCTCCAGTGGGGAGCCTCACCAGGAGGCTGGTCCAGTGAGACCAAATGTGGCAGCCACCCACAGCGTGGGTGGGATTGAGTTCACACCTGTGTGGACATTTCTCAACCACACCTGCCCTCCCTCACCCACTCCCCCCACCCCTGTCTGCTCTCACCTACCCACTCCTGTCCCCTCTCACCCCACCATTGCTTACTCTCGCCTACGGCCACATCTACTTGGCCTCATGCCCCACTCCTGCCTGCTCTCACCCTCACCCCTGCCCACCCTCACTCTCTCCCCTGCCCACCCTCACCCCTCACCCCTGCCCACCCTCACCCCTCACCCCTGCCCACCCTCACCCCTCACCCCTGCCTACCCTCACCCATCACTCCTTCCTGCTCTCACCCTCAACCCTGCCCACCCTCACCCCTCACCCCTGCCTGCTCTCACCCTCAACCCTGCCTACCCTCACCCCTCACTGCTGCCTGCTCTCACCTGAACCCCTGCCCATCCTCACTCCTCACCCCTGCCTGCTCTCACCTGAACCCCTGCCTGCTCTCACCTGAACCCCTGCTCACCCTCACCCCTCACCCCTGCCCACCCTCACCCCTCACCCCTGCCCACCCTCACCCCTCACCCCTGCCTACCCTCACCCATCACTCCTTCCTGCTCTCACCCTCAACCCTGCCCACCCTCACCCCTCACCCCTGCCTACCCTCACCCATCACCCCTTCCTGCTCTCACCCTCACCCCTGCCCACCCTCACCCTCACCCCTGCCCACCCTCACCCCTCACCCCTGCCTGCTCTCACCCTCACCCCTGCCTACCCTCACCCCTCACTGCTGCCTGCTCTCACCTGAGCCCCTGCCCATCCTCACCCCTCACCCCTGCCTGCTCTCACCTGAACCCCTGCCCACCCTCACCCCTCACCCTGCCTGCTCTCACCTGAACCCCTGCCCACCCTTACCCCTCACCCCTGCCTGCTCTCACTTGAACCCCTGCCTACCCTCACCCCTCACTCCTGCCTGCTCTCACCTGAACCCCTGCCTACCCTCACCCCTCACCGCTGCCTGCTCTTACCCTCATCCCTGCCCACATCACCCCTCACCCCTGCCTGCTCTCACCTGAACCCCTGCCCACACTCACCCCTCACCCCTCACCCCTGCCTGCTCTCACTTGATCCCCGGCCCACCCTTACCCCTCACCCCTCACCCCTGCCCACCCTCACCCCTCACCGCTGCCTGCTTTCACCCGAACCGCTTGTCTCCCTCCTGCTCTTACCTGTGTTCTTGCAGGAGGCGAGAGCGTCTCCTTCCACTACAGCCCAGGGAAGCTGCGGGGCAACCAGTACAAGAAGATGCTGGCCCAGGAGGAGCTGGAGGCCGAGCAGAGGTAGGTCCCAGCCCTGCCCACGCCTGCTAGAGGGAAAATACGTGCTGGAGGAAGCCACCACCGGGCACTGCTGCTCCTCCTCCCACAGTGGCCAGGACACATTCTGGCCGAGAGGCCCCGGACCCTCGTTTCTGAGCCCCAACCCCGAGGGCTGGCGCGGGCGGCGGTGTATTTCTTGGGGCGCTGTGCCCAGCACGCTCCATGGCCGCTCCCCATGCGGCAGCTGTCCGGTGCCAGTGCCCCCCAGTTGTTCTCCGCGGGCCAGCAAGACGTGGGGGGCATGGAAGGACTGCAGGGGGGAGCCCCCACTGCCGGGTGCCCAGACCCGCCCCTCGGGGTGACCCTCTGCGCCTTTGTATTGCAGGATCGAGCTGACCTCTGACCTCACCTCCCTGTAGGGCCCCCTAGACCCGAGCCACAAACATTCTTGCAAACCCCCGTGGTAAGGAGACCAACTCCGACTAACAGTCCTTCTCCTCCCCTGACCCCCTCTGTCCATGTGTCCCCACACGTGCCCCGCCCCACCACGCCATCACCATGTCCCGCCTCTCCGCCCCTCTGGCCCGGGGGCTGCTGGGGTCTTTGGTGTGAACAAACAGGCTCAGGGGGTCACGGGGCCGGAGGGCGCCCTGAGAGGGGGAGATTAACCCCTCGTGGAACTGAGGGGCTACTGGGGTCACCAATCCTGGGATCACGCCAGGACCCTATTGGGGCACCGATGGGCACAAGTAGAAGCCCAGGGCCCCCCGTTTGGAAGTCTGTGTGACTGGACCTGGCACAGCCCCCCCGGCCCCCAGTTTCCCAGTTTCCTGGGATTTGAGTGACTCAGCTAAGCAGGGGAGCCCGTGAAGGAGTAAGTTCTGGTGGCCCGGGAGACAGCTCCATGGGCTGCCCGAGGCCCCGAGTTTGACCCCCAGCACTGCATGGCCCCTGGAACACTGCTGGGAGTAGCCCCAGGGTCCCCTGAGGGGCCCTCAGACGTGGGCCCTGCAGCTGAGCATTGTTGAGAAGTGCCCCCCCACCCCGCCAGCGGCTGAGCCCTTTCAGGAGAGGCCTGAGGTCCGGGTTCAAGGACAGAAGGGCTCGGGGTCCTTGCCCAGAGCACAGCAGGGGGCTGCGAGGCTGGGAGCGCAGTGGGTTGTGCCAGGCTTGGAAGCCGGGGACTGAGGTCCCCGAGCTGCATGGGGCGATTCTTGGGTGCAGACTGCATTCTGGGGGCTCTGGGAATCCTGGCCTCCCTGGGGCGGGTGTCCATCAGGGAGCCGGGGGGTGTGGCTGGCCTTCCCACCTGCATGCTCCCTGTACCTGCCTGTGACCAGCCTGCTCCCTGCATGCCGTCAGCCCTCAACATCCCACTGGGGACCCCTGGGTACTGCATCCCCACTTTTCTGCGGCTTGGGGCTGCAGAGTCTGGCGGGTCGGCTTTGTCATCTCGTCCAGGGCGCACTCATTCCTGGGGAACAGGGATGAACGGGGCGGACCCGACAGGCCCAGGGCAGCTCCCCGAAAATGTTCGGAGTCGCCCAAGAAATGGCACCTCCTCTCCAGAACCCTCCCCGCTCACCTCCGCCCATCTCTGGCCAGTCCCACGCCTGAGCCGGCAGCCTGGACTCCGTGCCCCTCCTTAGCTTGCCTTCGAGCCTGGCTGGGCTGAGGAGGTGCTGGAGGCTGAAGGTCACTCCTGGGCCTGAGCAGCACCGTCCCCGCTCCCCACCACGGCTGAACCCACCTTCCTGCTTCCTTCCATCAGTAGGGGCCGCGGGATTCCATGTGCAGACCCTGCAGGCCCCACCACCCCAGTAAGGACGCCTCCCCCAGGGTCTGCAGGACTGTGCTGAGCCCCGGAAGTGGGCACACGAGGTGGACTGGTGTCAGAGTCCAGGAGGGAGCAGGCGGAGTGGGCGGGGTGCTGCTCCCCCCAGGCCCTGCCAGTCAGGTTCCAGCTATGCGCAGCACCTCCAGAAGAGGGCGCCAGAGACACGCACTCCCACTCCGTCTTGGCTGGCACCTTTGCGGGCTGCGGCCAGGGGTGCCGGTGATCCAGCCCACAGTGAAGGAGCGTCCCCTGGGGCCGGAGAGATCGTGCAGCTGACCTGGTTCGATTCCTGGGACCACATATGAGCCCCTGCATTAGAGCAAGAGAAACCCCTGAGCACTGCCAGCTGTTGGACCAGGCCCCCCAATAAATGAAGGAGGGTCTGCAGGGTCGCCTCAGAGCCCAGCAGTCAAGACCGCCTCTCACCGGCCCTGTGGGGATTCTTGCTCTGCGGTGCAAGCCTGGCTCTGCAACTGCCCCCCGCATCCTCTCCCCCTGCCCTCCCCGCCTGAGGAGGGATCACTTCTCTTCTCTGCCATTTCTCTCTACAGAATCGAAGAAGGATGCCGTGAGCCTGTCTCTCCCAAAGTTTTGGGCATCTAAAAACGCTTGACATGGGGCTGGAGAGATAGCACAGCGGGTAGGGCGTTTGCCTTGCACACGGCCGACCCGGGTTCGATTCCCAGCATCCCATATGGTCCCCTGAGCACCGCCAGGGGTGAATCCTGAGTGCAGAGCCAGGAGTAACCCCTGTGCATCGCCAGGTGTGACCCAAAAAGCAAAAATAAAATAAAAATAAAAATGCTTGACAGATAAGACGGGGGGCCCAGGGGGAGGCCCCCCCGCGCAGCTCCCCCCCCCACCCTCTCCTGGCCTGGCTGCAGCCACCATGCACACGCGCTGCTTTGCTAAGCTGGAGGTCCCGAGACTTGGATTTCCTCCCCTGTGCTTGGTTTCCTCTCCTTTCAATTTTTCTACTTTGGGGTTGTCACTTCTGGCTGCTCCCAGCTCGGTACTTAGGGGACCATGTGGTTCCCGAGATGCACCCAGGTGTGCGCCAGCCCTTAGAGCCGCTGCTGGGCCCCGATTTCTCACCTCGCCCACCCTGCTGGTCCCCAACAACCCCGTTCCCTTTCGCTCCTGCCTCTGCTTCCCTGTCCTGTGGGCAGCCCCCGGGTGGGACCAGGCAGATCAGCAGTGCCGGCCCCTGTCCCTGAGGTCACCTGTCTCTCTGCACCTCTGTGGCAGTGACGGGATGGGGCATTGCCCCAGCTCTGCAGAGAGGGAGGGTCTCTCTAGACCATCCATAGTGGAGCTTTGGTGGGAGCGATAGTAACAACTGAGTCCACTGAACAAGCTGCTCGGCAGGGTGTCTCTGAGAAGGTTTTCCCACAGGCAGGAGAACCTCACCTGTCAGTGGGCTCAGAAATTTGATAGATAGATAGATATGACAATGACAATAGCACTGTCCTCCTGTTCTTCATCGATTTGCTCGAGCAGGCTCAGTAACATCTCCATTGTGAGACTTGTTGTTACTGTTTTTGGCGTGTCGAATACGTCACGGATAGCTTGCAGGCTTTGCTGTGCAGGCGAGATATTCTCAGTAGCTTGCTAGGCTCTCCGAGAGGAGCGGAGGAATCGAACTCAGGTTGGCCGGGGTCTATCGCATGCAAAGCAAATGCCCTACCCACTCTGCTATCGCTCTAGCCCATAGATACAGATATTTTTTGGCTTTTTCTTTTTTTGGCTTTTTGTGTCCCATCCAGTGATGCACAGGGGTTACTCCTGGCTCTACACTCAGGAATTACTCCTGGTGGTGCTCGGAGGACCATATGGGATGCCGGGGATCGAACCCAGGTCGGTCACGTGCAAGGCGAATGCCCGCTGTACTATCACTCCAGCTCCCAGAAACTTGATACGGGCAATTCTGCTCTCTTTGTTCTTAGCTGTGTGACTGCAACACATTTTTCAGCTGTGGGTCTAAGGGGATGGTTTCCATTCAAAGGAGGCAGGAAATGTCCCCTGATGACCCCAGGGCAGGTAGCACCCCAGGGGTCAGGGGTCACAACGCCCATGTCTGGTGGCCATGGAGATACGCATCTCTGGCAGTGACAGTGACTGCCTCTGAGCTGGTTAGTCCTGCTGTTTCTCTGGAAGTTCACATAGAAATTTCCAGAATGCGGCTTGCAGGCCCCGAGCACGTGCAGCTGGTTCCCGCTTTCTCCCGGTGGAGATGTGCCACTTCGGTTTGGCTCTTCTGAAAAAGTGACTCTGGCTTAAACCCAGTCGCCATTTTGCCACCTGTCACGGTTGGGGCGCCCAGCATGTGGGGCCGTCCCCTGGATACGTGGCCAGGGCTGCAGGCGAGTCAGGGTTCACGCAAGAGGATCCCCCACCCCCTTTCTGCAGCCTCCTCCCTTGCAGCAGGAAAGTGGAACCAAGTGCCAAGGTGCCAACACCAGGGGGCGGAGCCATAGCACAGCAGAGTGGGCGTTTACCTTGCACACGGCCGACCCGGGTTCAATTCCCAGCATCCCATAGGGTCCCCTGTGCCCAGCCAGGAGTAACCCCTGAGCATCGCTGGGTGTAACCCAAAACAACACCACCAAGGAGTGATGCTGACTGTTGGCCGGATGCAGCCAGGGTTAAGAGCAAGCATCAGAAGCCCCTTTCCTGGGCTGCCGTGCCTCTGGCCACCTGGACAGGTCGGCCTCTTGGGGGTGAAGCTGTGTGGCGGAGCTGACCAAGTGAGGGAGATGCTGCCGGCGCCTCAAACCCTGGGTCAGGCCACAGGTTTAGGTGCAGAGCCTGGTGCCAGCCGGCACCTTCACGAACCACGATTCCCCCCAGGGCCAGCTGCAGTTGCCGCCCATTTTTCAAGTTGGCATTTTCTCGAGTAGCCACAGCTACATGTGGGCATTTCTAGGCTATGTCCAGCCTGAGACTTATGAAGATAGCCGCACCTGCCTCGCCATCCCCCAGCCCCTGGCAGCCCCCACAAAGCTGTCCCCAGTCAGCTTCTCTTTTTTTTTTTCTTTTTGGGTCACATCCGGCAATGCACAGGAGTTACTCCTGGCTCTGCACTCAGGAGTTACTCCTGGCAGTGCTTGGGGGACCATATGGGATGCCGGGAATCGAACCTGGGTCGGCTGTGTGCAAGGCAAATGCCCTCCCCACTGTGCTATTGCTCCAGCCCCCCCCCCCCCAGCTAGCTTCTTCCTGAGCCATAGAAAGGTGGGCCCCAGGAAAGGGGAAGGTGGGGTCCCTGGAGAAGGGGAAGGTGGAGTCCAGGGCAGGGGAAGCCCAGGCCTGTCCTCAGCACTTTGGAGACAGCCAAGGGGGTCCTTCTCCAGCCTGGCTCCCTGTTTACTTTGATCGCTCTTGCCACAGGGTCCCTAGCCCTCACGAAGCACCCCCTGGGCCCCCTGGCCTTGCCCCCAGGCCCACAGCTGTCCTGGTGTCACAGGGAGAGAGGCAGAACCGAGGCTCACTCAGTGCCCCGCAGCTCCACGCAAACCCAAGATGACACACCCAGCTTTTTGTTCTGGTTTTTAGGTTGGTTTGAGGGCCACAGCCAGTAGTGCTCAGGGATCACTCCGGAGATGCTCAGGGGAATCTCCCACAGTGCCAGGGAGTGCCCCGACCTCTATGTCATTTCTCTGGTTTTTCTTTTTCTTTTTTTTGCTTTTTTGGGTCACACCCAGTGATGCTCAGAGGTTACTCCTGGCTCTGCACTCAGGAATCACTCCTGGCATTGCTTGGAGGATCCTATGGGATGCTGGGAATCGAACCTGAGTCCACCACATGCAAGGCAAACACCCTACCCGCTGTACTATCGCTCCAGGGCCTTCTCTGGTTTTTCAAGTTGGCATTTTCTGAGTGGCCACAGCTGTGCTCAGGAGCCACCGTGGTGTCAGATGTCCTGAGCTGTCGCAAGTAAAACCAGGGGCCAAGGATGGAGCCCAGAGCCCCCCGCCCTGCAGCGTGCTTGAAGCCCCGTGGGGCCCCTCCCAGCCCACCGGGCTCCACTTCCCCGTTTCCATCCCCGTGAACCGGAGCTGCGGTGGTTATGGTCGGGACGGCGCTTGGCTGCCATGTCCCCAGGCGGGCGGGACCGCGCCCTCCTCCCTGTCCTTTCTCCCGACAGAGCGCAGAAGGAGCAGCTGGCCGCCATCTTCAAGCTCCTGAAGGACAACAAGGACACATTTGGGGAGATGAGTGACTACGACATCCAGGAGCAGCTACGCCTCTACGACATGTGACCCCCCGCCCGGCCTCGCCCGGCCCGGCCGACCCCGGGGCGGTGTCGCAGGCCCCTGTGATCCTAGAGGTAGATGCAGCTAATACACCACCTGTCACTTCCGCACCTGGCGTGTCCTTGGCAAGGGATGCCTCCGCCGCTGAGCACCCCCCCCCCCCTGCTTCCTGCCTGCTGCCACCCAGGGGACCCTCGGGGCCACCTTCAGATCCAGATGGGCACGAAGGGACGTGTAGCCCCCAGCTGATGAGCACTGGGGCTGGGTTAAAAGCACGCTCACCCGGGGGCCGGAGCAATAGCACAGTGGGTAGGATGTTTGCCTTGCACACGGCTGACCTGAGTTCAATTCCCAGCATCCCATAGGGTCCCCCGAGCACCTCCAGGTAATTCCTGAGCGCAGAGCCAGGAGGAACCCCTGAGCATCGCCAGGTGTGACCCAGAAAGCCAAAAAAAAAAAAAAACGAGGTCACCCACAGTTGTTCTGTCGTAGGAGGCTTTCCAGAAACGTCTCTGACTATATGGAAGGCGAAGACAGTCTAGCTGAACACAGGGCACCCCGGGTCACCGTTGGGACCCTTAGGGTCAGCCCCAGCAGGGGCCCTCTCTCAGGGGCATCGAGAGGCTTAGTTGAGTGTTCACCCCTAGAATGTGGCTGGGCACATCCTCAGGAGAGTAAAAGGCCCAGAGGGGGGTTGGAGTGATAGCACAGTTTGCCTTGCATGTCGCTGACCTGGGTTCAATCCCTGGCATCCCATATGATACCCCCTGAACACTGCCAGGAGTGATGCCTGAGCACAGAGTCAGGAGTAAACCCTGAGAATCCCCAAGTGCGCGCTCCCCGCAAAAAAAAAAAAAAAAAAAAAGTCCGATGGGATCCTTTTAGGGAAACCAGGCCCTCGAGAGAAGAGGCGAGTGTGTGGAGGGAACCCCTTCTCCAGCAGTCCATAAAAGGGCCCCACTGGCCGGGTGATGTGGAACGAAAGGATTGGTGTGTCCGGGAGGGGCGCGGGGAGGGTGTGTGTGTCTGTGAGTACCATGAGGGGTACGGGGAGGGTGTGTGTGTATTGGGAGGGGCCCGGGGAGTGTGGGGGTGTCTGTGGGGGGCGCAGGAGGCCGTTGGGGTCATGTAGCCTCAGAGCTGGTCGGGGAGGTTTCTGCCCACTGAGATCAGATGGGATCTACTGGGCACCTCCAGTTAGGGCTCCCGCGGGACGTGTCCGCGTCCCTGCAGGCCCTCTACGGGCCGGGCGCTGGGGGTCCCTTCTGTGCTTTTCCCAAGCCCTCTTGTGGGCTGGCCCCTACCTCGCCAGCACAGAGGCCAACGGGGCCCCTGCAGAGGCCAGAAAGCACCGGGCAAGCGCCAACGGAGGGGGCCAGCGGCAGCGGGGAGTCTCTCCTAGCTCTGGTCACGGACGAGCATCCTCCCAGCTGCACGCAGGGTGCGGAACTGGGGGCGACGGTGACCACCGGGAGCAGGCAAAGGCGCTTCCACCGCGGCCCCAGGGGAGAGACCCCGCCCTTCGCACGTTCCGCCCTCCCCATTGGCTAAGACGTATCACGTGCCCGTGCTCGCCAATCAGCGGCCTGGAGCGGGGAGCTGTGATTGGCGGAGACTTGGCTGGGCAGACCCGGGCCTCGGCGCCCCCTGGTGGGGGCCTTCTGCACTGCAGCGGGGTCCGCGCACGCGGGTGTGTCTCGTGTCCGCTGCTCCAGGGCCTTTTCTGCCACCGTGTCGGCCCCATCGGGACGCCCCGGAGTCCAGTTAGGGCCGCAGATTCCTCTCCAGAGCCCTTTCCCATCGATACGCGCAGACGGCTCCGGAGCCCGCGTCGGGTTCGCGCAGGACGTCCCCAAAGTCTCCTGCTTGCTCCCGGGGCCGCGAGGAAAGTCCCGCATCGTGGGGGCCGAAGACCCGCGAGCAGCGCAGCCCCACTCGGGCCACCCCTCCCCAGGCAGGGCCCGGAGCAAGGGGCAGCAGAGCAGCCCCGGGACGCGGGGGACACGGGGGCACTCTGCCCCTGCCACCGCCGGGCCCTGCAGAGGCTCACCTGCCTCGGTGACCCAGAGCAGCCCACGCCCTCCACACACCTGTCACGCCCGAACGCCCATTACACACCCAGCACCTGTCACACACCTCACACGCCCGTCACGCCCATACTCACCCGAACCCCCATACACACTTGTTACCCCCATACACACCCAAACACCCATACACACCTGAACCCCCGATACACACCCAGACCCCCATATACACCCAAATCCCCATACATACCCATCACCTTTATACACATCCACCCCCCCTACACACCTTAACCCCATACACACCGGAACCCCCATACACACCATCACCTTTATACACATCCAACCCCCCATACACACCTGAACCCCATATACAGCTGAACCCCCATACACACCTGTCACCCCCATACACATCTGAACCTCCATACAAACCCACCCCCCCATACACACCTTAACCCCCATACACACCCGAACCCCCATACACACCCATCACCTTTATACACATCCAAACCCCCGTACACACCTGAACCCCCATATACAGCTGAACCCCCATACACACCTGTTACCCCCAAACATACCCATCACCTCTATACACACCCAAACCCTCATACACACCTGTCACTCCCAGACACACCCATTACCTCTATATACACCCAAGCCCCCTTACACACCTGTCACCCCTATATACACCATATACTCACCCATCACCTCTAAACACCATCACCCTCATACACACATCTATCATCCCCATTCACAGCCTTCACACACAAGTCACACTGCAGAGCCCACACCCATCACCCCCTACACACTTGTCTTCCTTTTGGGGTCTCCTCTGCTTTCGCCATTCCAATTACAGCTGGCCAAGCAGGGTCTGGGGGAACAACCACCCCCACTCCCAACAAGACTTCTGTTGTCTCTGCTGTAGCCTGAGGGGTTCCGACACAGGACCCCAACTTTTGTTTTAGGGACCACGCCGGGCGATGTTCAGGGGTTACTTCTGAGTCTGCACTCAGGAATTACTCCGCAGGGGACCGAAGCCAGTCATTCATGTGCAGTGCCCACCCCCCACCCCCCACCCCCGCTGTCCTGTCCCTCCAGCCCCAGAGGCCCCAGCCTTAAGCAGGGGTTTCAGTCTTAGGCTCAAGGAGCAGTCAGGGAGCCAGAGCGATAGGACAGTGGGCAGATAGTTTGACTGGCACACGGTCAACCGTAGTTCAATCCCTGGCATCCCATATGGTCCTGAGCACTGCCAGGAGTAACCCCTGAACATCACTGGGTGTGGCCCAAAAAGCAAACCAGAAAAAGAAGCAATCAGATCTCGGTCCCTCTGGGCTCACAGAGCAGGTCCTCTCCACGGGGCGCCCCAACATCAGCTGTACCCCAACACAGGTCCTCCTCTGCCGCGCCCGGCGCTGCAGGGCCAAGCCAGGCGAAGGCCGTCAGGGTGAAAGCAACACTCGAGACACATAGGGCTCCGTCATGCAGGAGATGGTGAAGGATCTCTGTTTATTGTTTCACCCCACAGGTATTTTTCCCCCCTCCAAGTCAGGCAGGAAAGGGGAAGGGGCAAGCAGGGGCGTGGGATGAGTCACGTACTGTCAGTCGGCTGATAGCCCCCAAGCCCTCGAAACCTTTACATGTGTCTCAATGTAGTGGCTGCCACATCAGTTTTAGACATAACCATAGAGGACGTGCTAAACCGAGGGTATGCTCTAGATAAACACTTACAAGCTGGGATATTTCCCAAAACTGAGGCCGTGCTGTTGATACCAGGAAGTTGCCCATAATGTGAGTGTGGGGGAGGCAGCAGATCAGGCATCCATTTTGTGCCAGGAGGCAACATTCCTCAGCGATTAACACAAGGAAAAGGAAGGCAGAGAGTAGGACAGCACGTAGGGCGCTTGTCTTGTGTGCAAACAATCCTGGTTCAACCCCTGACACCGCCTCAGGTCTCCCAAGCCCCACCAGAAGAGATATATCCCTGAGCACAGACCTGGGAGCAGCCCCTGAGCATAGCCAGGTGTGGCCCCAAAGCAAGTCAAGCAAACAAAAAAGAGGGCCAGTCAGTGAATGTGAGCAGGCGGCTGGGGCTCCGCACTGGCCCGGGGTGGTCAGTCTGCTTCCCCCTGCCCACTCCTCTCTCTAGTACCCTCCCTCCGTGGGTCTGGGGGTGTGATGCTCAGCTTTCCCTTCCCGTCAACAGAAAATAATGGGCTTCCTGGGGAGCGGTGTCTCGCCCACCGTGCCTGCTCTGGAGAAGATCCAACTCCTGACGCTGCGTCCAGGTCTCCCCCTGCCAGCTGCATTTTCATTCTGTCCCCATTGCCCCTCTGCCAGATTCACCCATCACGAGTTACCATTTTTATTAGTTCCTGGCTTTGCTCTTTCAGCATCTGTTTTGGGATCACACTCGGCAATGCTCAAGGGATGGGATGCCGGGGACCAAACCTCTCTTTTGGCATTTCTTTTCGCCCCCAAGTGGAGGTCAATGTCTTTGGCAATCATGCTTCAGAAAATGCTGAAGGCTTCCTCCTCCTCCTCACCGCCCCATGGTGCGCTGAGCTAAATGGCTAAGTGGTCCGGCCATACCCCAGCTGAAGGACACTCGCCCCGTTTCCAATATTCCGCTGTTTCAATTAATACCACGATGAGTAAGGCTTTATTTACACGCTGTTCCCTCTGGGTGGAAGTGTCTTTTCAGGGTTCATTCCTAGATATCTGTGGCTGGGTGCAAGGTTAAAAAAAAAGGTTCATTTGTCTGATCCTGTTTCCCCATCACAGCTGTCAGTTTTGCAAACTGCATTTCATCAGCCAGAGAGACCCTGTTCCTGTCTGGCCCTCAGAGATATTGGCGCTTTTTAACAAACAATCTGATAGATCCAGAGAAGAATTAGTTTTTTGGTGGTTTTATTTTGTTTGTTTTTTGCTTTTTGGGTCACACCTGGCAATGCACAGGGCTTACTCCTGGCTCTGCATTCAGGAGTTACTCCTGGC